CCTCCAATATAATTTAAACATTCCAAAGAATATTTATTGAAACATAATGAATACTTTCGAAACACGAAAAGTTCGAAAAGTTGACCAGAAAAAAAAACAACAAATTATTTATGTATTTATTCGCAATCTTTGACCTTTTACCATTCGCTTCATAATCACCACTGATTTCTATGAATTTGGGAATGTGAAGCTGGACGTATTTCTTCGATTCCAGAGATCTCAATAAAATTACTCGTTATTTCAGCAGTGTCTCTCTTCCTGGTTTCCAACAAATTTTCGAAAACTTTTCGAAAGCACTTTTCGGTGTACCGCTTTCCCCTTCCCGTTTGTCCTTTTTCCAATGGAATAGCAGCCAGGTTTTTGATCGGGTGAGGTAGACTGACATAACATTTGCTAATAATTGTTGTTGCTTTTGAACCTGTTGGACTCCAAACCGTGAACTACTGTTTGGTTTCTGGTTCATACTTAAGAACCAAGATTCGTCACCAACAGCGACTTTATTAAAGTTGCTAGACAGGCAATTTTCGAATTGGTTAAAGAAAAATTGAGCAAATTATACTCGAGCCGTTTCTTGGTCCTCATTTAAAATTCGTAGTATCCATCGAGCAGATTTCTTCGGGTATTCCAGATGATTTAAGCCCAATTCATTAGCAATCATTTCTTGTGTCAATCGTGGGTATTCATCGATTTTGAACTTCACCAGAGCAACAGTGACGTCATCAGCGGAAGATTTTGATCGATCCCTCGAGGCTCGTCCTCTACGGGAAAATGTTCGGTCTGAAATCTTTGGAATCTCTTGGAAATAATCTTTAAAGATTGTGTATTGGCTGTAAATTACGCGGAAACTTTTTCAAATATTTTAATGCTATCGAGTTTGTTGCTTAAGTCTTTTGTATGTTTAAATTTTTAGGTGTAAATATTTGTAACCACCGCCATCAGCTTCTTAGAAAACATATCTCATTCATAAATATATATAGTAAGCGCTTACAACTTCTTGGCCAATCTAATATCGTATATGTGGTCACACAAAACGATTCATCTCCCTTATCTGTTCTTACTTAATATCGATAATCGATTTCTGAGCAGCAGTAGGAGCTGAGATATAAAATTTAGAATTAAATAAAAATTGTACAAAATAAGATATACATATATTTGTGGGCATACTTTAACTCATACTTGTTTACTTAAAATCCATACAAAACGAAAATTTCGGACATCATTCATTCAATTAAACCTCATCAATCAAAAAATATTTATTTAGCAAAATGAAACGAGCAATACTGAACACACAGAAACAAACGTGCATGCAAAGCTCATTATTGAAGACAAGCAAAGCAAATTCAATTTACCAAAAATTTATTTGGCAATGGTTTTTGTTGTTGATGTCTGCCAGAAAGCAAGGCGTTAGACAACTGCTTGAGATGAGGAAGAGTGCTAAAACCGGTAATCAGTCAAATTTGGTTGTTTTTATTGCCCGTTATCTTTTTAATTTTTATTAACTTCTTTTCCTTATTTCACTTTGACTTCAGTTGATTAATTTTGCTTCAGCATTTATTTTATTTGTTCTTGTTTTTCAATTTTACGTTTGTATTTCCCTTTTTTCCATTACTCTCTAGATCGCAATCAATTCAATAACTTAAGCAAATGATGTATTAACAATTTCTACAAATACCAACTTTTTTTATTGTTGTCTTTTACTGATAATTTATGACCACCGAAATCATTGTTAACAATTTTATTGTTTCTTTTTTGTATTTTTTCTTCGCTTATGGTACAATCTTCGACAGCTTTGTAGGGGATTTGTTCTCCATCAACGTCAAAAAGTCAACCGAACAGCAGCAATAGGGCAGTACCCTCCGCCGCCGGCAACATGATATTTGCAACAACCTCAATCAGCGGTAGCAACAATAGCAGTGATTTCGCCGTGGTCAGTGAACGTTGCTGATGCTGCCGACTATGTGGCGCTGAAAAAAATATTTTGTTTTAGATGTTATACACCAAAGCCGTCCGCTGCCCTCGATTGACCCCATGTTGGTGGTGGTTCGCAACGTCGGCAGCGACGCCGACTTTTCAGTTAATGTATGATAGGCCTGGAGGCGAACTTTTTGTAAGTTTACTTCAAATATATTCCTTTACCCGGAGAGAAGTGAAAGGCGGGCTCTTTATTTAAGCAGTCGAAAACTTTGCAAAACAGAAAATGTTCTTAAACGTAAAATAGTGTTAACATAAATAAACTATTTCTACGAAGAAAAACAAAGAAAATTTACTAACCTCATGCTAAAGCTAAGCAATTTCCAATTTAGAAAAGCAAATTCATTAGAGACATAAAATGTGCATATAAATAACTATTTTCAGCCTTTTTCGAAATAAGTAATAAGCAGAGATATTTAACTTTTAGCAGTAATAACTGCATAAAAATTAATTGCACGCCAACTATTAAATAATAGAAGTTTACAACAAATACCTGAATCCATTACGGCAACCCTCGTTCTGCTCGCTACTTGAATGGATACCAAAGAAAAAATACGAAGGCGTTGCCACTCCGCCTCGTTGTTAAATATTTAATGCTACCTCAAAATTTCAAAGCTTTGATAAGAACTCTTGAGTTTAAGAATTTGTTTGCTTATTTTTTGCCAGCGTAATTTGATGTCAAAAGTCAACTAGCAACCGATCATCAGCGAATTGGTGGAATAGTCGTACTGCATGCCATTTGAAATAGTTTCAAATTATTAGCTAAGCTTAATCAGTCAAGAGATTTGTAGGGCAAGATACTATTAGGAAGGTTACGGATTCAAATCCAATATTCAAATGAACGGAAAAAGTGTTTTTTTTTCAATGGGTAGCGCCTCGGTAGGGAAGACAGCCTCTTATCATAATAAATCATTAAACTCTCAAAGGCGACTTAAAACCCCAGATCAGTTCATTTGCAGGAATACAAAGTCTTACCCCCTAAATCGAACGAGAAACACGGCTGAAATTAGTATAGGCTTATGACAGTGTTGTTGTTTTTTCAAGTACATGGTATATTAACTTTGGCTCCAGGTATTTAAGTACTAGAAGGAGGGGGCTGAGTTACTTTAACCATGTATTTCTGCACGTTTGTTTGCATGTAAACAAGTTCCTTAGTTTTGAGATATTTCAACACACCTAAAGACCAGATCGGACCACATTCAGCATATATATGACCGATTTGTCAGATGTGAATTTTTGTCACAAATTTGCCGAAAAAGCATCTAAGAACGTGAAATGTGGTATTCTGTACGCACATAACGTACACATTGGTGCTGAAAATGATCGAAATCGGACAGCTATAACTTATAGTTCTCTTATACCGATTTCTTCAGATATTAGGCTTTGGTTAAACTCTGTAAAAAAGCATCAAGGAGTATGAAATTTGGTATTATATAATCATATTTGTAAGTAAACATTAGTTCCATAAATTATGAAAATCGGAGGAAAGGTATAAAGCTTTCGGCATCGCCAAAAATAGTTCTTAATTTTGTTATAAAATTAGACTGATAAGGTGAAGAAAAATCTTAAAGAATAATTTAAAAGTTAAAATTTTATACTCCTTGAAAACTCAAAAAAATGACTTCTGTATTGTATATGCATATATAATCCTTGGCTATTTGAAGATGCGGCAGGGAATGTCAACCCTCCGAGTGTATTTCTGATATGAAATAAAGCTCCTCATAAAAAACCATCAGCCGTTCGGAGGCGGCTTAGTATAAACTGTAGGTCCCTCCATTTGTTCGAATAATATCAAGCCGAAATTTCACAAATTGGAGGAGGAGCTCGGCGGAAAATCCATTCAGCGGTTACAGAGCGCCAATTATATATATAGATATATAGATATATATATGCGATGATGTGAATTTCATGCTCGTTTTACTTATTTCCACACCCGAAATTTAATATACATATATAAAATATTCATTACTTATATTTGCATACTATTTTATTTATTCAAATCGAGTGAGTGCTGCGCATTCCTCTTTTATCTCTTCTTAATTGCCCCGTAAAAACGAGAAGTAAATGAACTCGTTGAAGTGCTTCTTATTCATTCTTTTATGAATATTTCATTTGTTTACATTTTTACAACCGATAAATGCGCATGCGCACCAAATGCGAATTCACGTGTGCGCGTAAACACTCCATAAAGATTTTCATTGTGCCTAATTTTAAAATATTTGATTGTTAATCATAATTTGCAAATTTATCTCCTCAACTTCAAAGTTACGTCAGTTTGGACGCTGTAATTTACTAAAGAAAAATATTTTTTTGGCGCAATTATTCTTTTCAGCCCCTTCGGAGTGAACTGTTTGACCCTCTCTTCCTAATTTTCATAAAAATACAAATTTATTTTCGCTTGTAATTTAAGCCACGCTTATCAAACTTGCTACACATTATCATTACAACCAGAAACTAATTTGAGCCAAAAAAAAGCGTCAAATGTTTCATTTTATGTGTGTTTGAGTGTGTATATTTTTTTTTTGGCGTTCAATTTGCCTTTGGCAGGTTTTCGATAACTGAAACGTACTTGGCTGAGTTGACCGGTTAAATTTTTGATTTCGGAGGCGCTAAATTTTTACAAAAAAATATATATATACATTTTTTATTTTTTTCTCTCTTATTATTGTTTTTTAAAAGTACAACAAAGTAACAGTTACCTTGTCTGACGATTTCTTAATGAACTTGTAAAGCAGCCTACGTATTTTTTGAAGAGTTTATACTTCAGACAAATTTCCCTGGGGAAACTGATATTTATGTTATAGTCGTTATATTTCCAAAAAAACAATGGCAAAAGGCACGGCGCGATGTATGCATATCATCATCAAGGAACATCTTTCTTTCATACATAACCTCGCACATTTCCAAGCGCGCTTTTAAGCCTTTTTATTTTATTTTAAAATAATTATTTGGACACAGATGCTTAAAATTTTCAAATTACCATTTATAAATAGTATTAAATAATTGATTAGTTGAACTACCGAACTCACCATTTTGATGATGTATATGAAGTCGTTATTTCACAATTTTTTCAGCAATTTAAACTCTCATCAATAAGTAAGAGCCACAGTTGCGCAGAAGCTCAAGAAGATCAACCTTTCAGGTCCTTAGTTTATTATTGAAGTCAATTAATATTAATTTTTTTTTTATTGCATACATGTACGTATGTTCAATATTTTATTACAACTTACATTCACTTATTGTCTACACAGTTTATTAAGGCCTTCAATAGAACTTAGAAAAATATATTGTTTTGCAATTAACATAGGTGATGTAATCAGTTCAATTTTTTAGTTTTACTTTTTAATCTGACTCCAATTTTTAATAACTCTCAAATAACTACAGGGCCCAAAAGCGAATCACAACAGGTGATTGGGCCTTATCGTAGTAAAAATAAATAAAAATCTTTAAATCTAGGTTTCTGCCATTCGAAATATAAGCAACAACGACAGCATCGAATCTCCCAAAGCCACACTTGTCACTCTACATTTGGCAGGAAAAGTATACCAGAACTGCAAAAAGTAGGTGTTTACAAAAAAAAACCGCTGATTAGTAGCCTTTAGGGCCAGCTTTCGCAGTTGCCTATTGTTTTTTTTTCGTTTTCGTTTCGTTGCAATTTAATATGGCAAGCAAAGTATTATTTTCATTTAAGTCAAGGCGTCTTAAACCGGAAACATATGCCAATAGATGAACACCAGTTTATTACATAAACAAATGTGATTGGTAGTACGTGTAAGTAGGGAAAAGTAGCAAACGGAGTTTCGCCACTGAACAAGCTGAAGTTCATAATAATATTTTAGTTGTGAAGTGGAAAATGAGAAAAGTACTGAGCAATTTAATAATTTAACGTAAAACTATTCTTTCTAATTTTAGTCACATGTCACACACACATACACGTGGGCATTCCAATCACCAAATGGGGACTCGTACTAAAATTCCGCCAAAACTCATATGCTCCAGCTACTTGTCTCAACGGCTACTGAAGGCACCTAATTTGGCAAATGAAGCATACAATGACTAATTAAAAACACCACGACACCACCCAATTTACAAACGACCTACTCTCACCTTTTTCAACTATTTTTACACTACTCTTTAAAGCATGCGTGTATTGCAAATAGCCGTGGCAAAAATGCACCCAAAGCGCCAGCTGCCAACTTGGGTTGTCTGCGAGATTTAACGGTGGTTAAATACACATATATAGGTATGTACGAGTATGTGAGCATTCATGTCTGCAGTTAACAATAAATGCACTTGTTTATCTACTACTGCGGACAATCTATTTGTGTTTCTGCGCATATTTGTCATGCCTTAATGCAATTGAGAGTAGATCATTCATGTCCACTCACACACTATCGTTATGGAAGTGTTAACGTTTTGTTTGAATTAAAATAAAATTGAATTCATACTGAATTCACTCGAAATGGCAAGACATTAAGTGTTTAAAGTGGAAGACTTTAAGACTTTATGGGTTGAAGTAAAAATTGTCCCGCTCTAATGGGCAACTGTATAAGGATAAATAATAATTCTCATTTTGGCACTCAAATAAAAGGCTGGCGCTGTGAACAACATTTATATACGTACATATCTATGAAATTCTGCCGGATAAACGCGCAAAGCAGCTGATCGAAGAGACCTGAAAATTGCTTTGTGAGTGAGGTAAAGTAGGGATGATTTTAACATAAAATAAGTGATACATCTTTTTACGGGAAAAGGTTATAATTATATTCGAAATAATCGTGCTTACTGTTTGATTTTCTTGGCATTAGAAACTAGAATTAGTTTGCTATTTGATTACTAGATGGATAAGGTAGAACTAAATTCAAATTCAACACGATTGAAGTCGCGGGCAAAAAGCAGTATGAATTTTTCATACTAACCAAATATCCCACACGCATGCATCGTGCAATATATCGAATTGCCCGCAGCAGCGGAGGAGGTAGCATTGCGTGCTAACATTTGGATGGTCAGGGTTCGAGTACTGGTTCGACCAACATTCAAGATAGCAGAAAAAAATTTTTTTATTTGCCGTTGCCCCTCGGCAGGCAATGTCAAACCCGAGTATTTCCGATAGAAAAAAAAACGCAAACACCAATTGTTGAAGGAGTTCGGCCGACAAGCGCTTCAGCGATTATATTATATATATACTTACATCAAATTGACTCAATTATAATATAATGTGTCAAGAGGAAACGCCTTTTCGAGATCATAGACAAGGAAGGGTTAGAATTCTCTAGTCAGAAGCCTCCCTTGTTATATGAAATCATATATTTTAAGGGGATCTCAAAAGTCCGGCAAATGTTTCCTGATGTCTGTCCCTATGTTGTGTTCCGAGATTCACGCAAGTCAAAGTGCGCTGGCAAAACTTAGGTTATAAACATCAGTGATGAGTTTCGAGTTTAGGTCTTTACGTAATGTTACTGCAAACAAGGTGAGTAAAGAAAATAAAAGAACGTAATGTCTTATTTTTAAGTTGTCATGTGTATTTGTAATAGATTTTGACATACTGATGATCTGTCGAATTGAATGAAAGATTCGCTAATAAATTAATTACTTGCAGACTCATTCAATGCCTCCGGTGACGCTGTGAAATTTATTGGTGTCATTAAAAGCAGAAAAGGAATGAAAACAAAGGATCATCATCGTCATCAGTATAATATTCGGCCATATACATATATATATATTCCCGCATAGCATGTGTATGAATATACGATAATAATAAATGTATATATGTTTGCAATAAATTACCGTAAAGTAGAGCGAAACTTGTTGGCCATCAAAATCACAAAGTACATCCATATGCACTTGCACACACACACATATAAACGTGTACGCTAATACACCGAATGCAACTAAGCAACAACTGTACAGAGACTGGAGACTGTCAGTCAGACAATTTGGACGATTGTTGGCAGTCAGTGGCAGCCGCAAGAAAATAAAATAAAAGAAGCAAACAAAATTATCGCAGAGAAGCGCAGGTGGCTCGTATTAGGTCGGAGGCAGCGGTGGCGCAGGGCCGGCAGATGGCAGAAAGTGCCGTGGGGATCGTCCGCTGTGCGAGGAGATTGGCTGCGACAAGAATTGTAAACAGTTAATTTTGTTGAGTTTCTGTTTAAAATGCTTAAAACGCTTCAGGTTGATTTTTATCAAGCGGCTGAACTTGTACTTTATTGGTTTTATACATATGTACAATACATATGCACAATATATGCGAAATATGTTTTTTATTAATTTGTTTTTATTTTATTTTGCATTTTTATTATGACATTGCTTCAAGAATTGTGCCATGATTTACAATTACATTGACATAACGTAAATAATGTTGAATTTTAGCATCAAATTTAATCAACTAAAAATATAAGCGAAAAATTAAATAATTAAATTGTATTCGTGTAATTGAAAATGCGGTAGACACAGAAAATTTAGTAGAGAATAATCACATTTTCAGTTGATGTAATATAAATGAGTACACATACAAATATAAAACTGCGAGGGCCTCACCTTAAGTTTGTTCTAAGGAGGACAGCGAGCTGAAAATCCCTAATTTCTGCAAAAGTCATTCAACTTTCAGCTGGTAAATGGTGAGGATTGTTTCATCTCTATGTCGCCAACATCACCTACCATGATAAAATGCAGTGGTAGGCGGTGTACTCGTGAATAAAAAAGGTTTTACTAATCTTTCATATAGTTAAGCCACAATAAGAGCTCCTCCTACGGCACTTAACTTTTCTCCGACGTCAAAGTGTCAGTTAATTTGAATACTGTTGACTCGATACGCCCACAACCTTCAAGCTACAATTAAATAATAAAAAACTGAATGGCCAGGAATTCAAGTGCAACGAGAATTATGAATTTCTGACGAGCTTGCAAAGTAATGTAAAAGTATGACAAGATGCTGTTGTTGTTGCTGTTATCCTTAACAATGTTTAAAGAAGAAAAGAAATAAAAGAAGCATTCAATTAAAAACGCCACATATTAGCTTCAATCATCTAGAATTGTTTCGTTACATTTCATTTTCAATTTTAATTTTTTTTACTTATTTATTTTTAATTCTTTCCTTAATCATTATTTATTTATTTCTTATTTTATTTTACTTTAATTTTATTTTATTTTAATTTTTTATATTTTATTCTATTGCACTTTATAATGCTTTACTATATTCTATTTATTATTTTATTCTAATTAAATTGATTTTATTTTATTTAGTTATTTTTTTAAACAACTGAAATTTTTTACTTATTTAATTTGAAATTCTTTTCGCAATATCCACCGAAAGTATGTTCGTTCGTTTGATTCAGTTTTAAAGTGTGTTTCACTTCAGTGCTTAAATCTTTAAGATTTGTTAGGCATTTCCTTTTCACTTCCTTTTTGTCCGCTAACCAAATTTTTTAAATAATTCTCACTTCACACGTTTTCTGATAATTTTTTATAATTCAAATTATTAATTTATATCCATTACAATTCAATCTTTCGCTAATTAAATCACACTAAATTGCTTACAAATTACCCGCTAAGGGAAAGCTTTTATCGATAATAAAAGGCAAAGACGACGAACATGACAGAATGGTTTGGCGACACGAACTACACTGAGCGTTTGCTGCTGATCACATCAGCTCCAAATCGTTTTCGGCGCGAACTGTCGTTTGACTACGCTGCACAGCTGGAGCGGCTACAGTATGGCTTTGTGTTTACTGAAAACGAAGATCTTTATTTGTGTTACCAGATCTGCGATAATGAGAATTCGTTCCTCTTGGTCTGAAATGACGTATTTTTCAAATTCTTGTTTCATTAAGCATTTAGCGTATACGACGATTCTTCTAAGATAGCAGTAGTATGGTCGAATTTACAAAAGTGCTGTAAATTTTCCAGCTCATGTTTTAGAGACACATTTAAACTCTTGCGAGATTTGTCATATAAAATTAAATACCGTCATATTTAGATTTCAGTTAAACATTCAGTTTGTAAACCTGGCAACGCAAATTCACATACATAACTACCAGTTTGTGAGGCTCCGCCGCTCATTTCCCTATCGTCTCGGTCGCTTTGCATTTTTTGCATATTTTCCCCATTGTATTTTTCGCTCTAAAACTAAAGCAGTAAATTTGTATAAGCTTGGGAGAGACTAAGTAAAAAAGGAGTGATGGAGAGAAGATCTTTAAGAAGCGTATTTTAGTAAAAAGCTCCGGAAAACTCATTTGCAAATCTATTCCACTGGCATGACTGCTTATCGTAAAGTTTTCCCATAGAAGACAAAAGAACCTTTTCATTCTCTTACCGGAAATCATTTCACTTTTGTTAATGAATTTCATCAATGGATGCCAGTGTGCTTTCACATCGCGTGAGGTTAATATCCAGAATGTGTTTGCATAAATGAATTTTATTTAAACATTTATATGGTTAATCACAATAATAAAGTAAAAGAATATATAAAAATGACAAATATTCAATGAGTGCCCATTGTTTGTAGAATAAATTTGTAAAAAACTATATTGAACTGAAAGAAGATTTTGGAAAGTACCTAAAGGTGTTTGATGAATTACGAAAGACATTTTTATTCAGTGGAGAGTTAAAAACGAATGTTAATTAATATGAATAAAAATAATAATAATAACGAATATATGCATTAAACTTTGTTTAAATGTGTCTCACCCGCCTGTGTGTATTTTAAAGTACATATGTATACTCGTATGTATAGTTATAGCCTTTATTTGAACAGCATTCTGCCCTGAACCTCTCGTCAAGATATGTCAAACTATCGATTACATACATCCAATTCTTGAGGAGTACTGCCAGTGAGCAGAAGCTAGAGATTATCAATCGATTAACTTCATCCTCGATGGTGTTACAAAGATGATACTTTGGAGCTAAAAGTTGAAACGCAAGTCAGGCAGCTGAAAATGTGAATGGTGTCTACACCATGTGAATGTCCTGATACAGTAACAGTCAATCATTTTGTTTTCTTCGATATCGATGCTCCACGGTGTCGAGGGCCACTTGTCGAAAATTCGTCGAGTCTGACCGCCATGAGAACTCTGTTCCTACTGCCCACGAGCTAAACACTGCACAAAAATTAGTTTAGAGCTGCTTTAAAAGGGCTGGATACACAAAGAAGCTCGGTGTATGGATGCCACGTGAATTAACAAAAAAAGCCTCTTGGGCCGAATTTTCATCTGCGTGAGGGGAGTGAGGGGGAGAGAACACAAACGAATTGGCAGTCGGACTAAACATCGATGAACTCTTTTGTTGTTGTCTGAGCTGCTTAAATTGGCCACGGAATTACATATACAATTTAACAGGCCGATAGCCTCTGCTACTAGTTGCCTTTTCATACATAACTATTCATAATTATATTTCAGGCTAACAATTAAACAAATAAATATATATATATATATGTGTATATAAATCTACCGTGGTCTGTAATATAATCCGAACAATTTAAAAATTTGTTATTTGCTCAATATTTTGGATACACATGTATGTATGTATGTATATGCTTTGTGCAATACATAGCCAGGCCTATGTTGTACTCCGCATTGAATTGAGTTTAAACTTAACAATAAATACAATAAAGAAAACCTCATTAGTTATAAGTTGAAATCACAAAGAGCAAAGCGACAAACACAGGCGTGTCAACACATGTTTAACGGTGCAGACTTATAATGGTGCGTTAATGAGTTTATAGAGCCGTTTTTTTTTTTTGTGTAAGTGACATTTGGTGGGAGGCAGGTATTTATTGAATATAAATTCAAAATGCCTTTTATTAATTACTAAGTACCTTGACAATTTTTATTACATTTTTTTCAGATGAAATTTTGAGTTTGTTTATAATACTAATTCGATGTTTGCTTTTGTGCACACATCGAATTATATCTCTGAGATAATTTAACAAGCAATTTATAATAGTATGTTTACATACGAACAGAGATACACATGCACCACATACTCGTATGTACATTCATGTCATGGGCTAACGCAGAATAATTTTCCGAAGGGTTTTCCAAGGAGGGAGGGGATTTGCCAGATTGGTACTTTGGTACTCAGTACAAAGATGATGCGGAATAACGATTAACGAATTAACAAAGCCGGTGTACACACCCCTATTTCCAAATTATTCGACCAACCAATTCTCCAATATCTAATATTTGAAATATGCCTATATAACAGGCGGTTTACCGTGATATTATCGCTGGGAAGTTTCAGTCAAAGCAGGATTTTCTGAGGGCATATTCTTGGGCCTATATTACACATTATGATATTTTTTATTATATTATGCACCTGGAGACCATGAATTGCGTTCTGCAATCAAATCAAAGGTTATAAATATTCCCCAAGCAAACGAAATAACATCTCTCGTTATGGCCTGAAAGGGACACATATATGGTAGCTAAAATATTTCATAAAATATCTAGATCAAATTGCTTTTCATAAGAACTCTGGGCTAAAACTAATTTTCAAATGAATTTGATAAGTATAATAGTGTATAATATTGTGAAAAGACGGAGGTTTCAGGCAAAAATTCTAAGCGTAAATACGGGCGCACATTGATACGTACATAACATTAGCATACATAAAGACCTTCGTATCTTACTGTGTAAGCTTAAAGTTGAAAGGAGCAGAACGAAGTACCTTATCCCAACCCATTAGCTTTCCGCTTTGACTTAAATCAAGCTAACAAATTTTTAACTTAATTTGAAGATTTGTTTACTAACGATTAGGCCTGAGTTAATTTAATTATATTCAGCAATAAATGAATTACGTTCGAAAAAAAAGAGTTCACGTTAGTACTCAACAAAATTTTTAACCAAATTGGGGTATATAAGTATTTATCTGGCATTTTAAACAAAACTTTACATGTGTCATTTCAAAAATTGTTTCGCTGTAACTTGGGAAAGGGTTCGAAGCCCCTAAACCTCTTTCCCTCTGTGCTCGTTCCTGATCTAAGTATATCAATTTTTGTGTATGTTTTAAGGTCGCTCAATCGTCACTAATCGGTCATAACACATTGTTAACATCAAGGACACTCTAAGCATTTGATACTTATGTCATTACATACATGCATATCTACGAAATATAAATATCGTTTAGGATAATCAATGGATTATTCCTACACCCAAATATTTGAAAAAAAATTCCCTCGCCTCCGCAGCACTATTTTAAGTCTCCGTCTTTTGACTTTTCGTTTTAATGGATTACCTTTGCGATCAATAGGATTCGAGAAGCTGACACTGACTTCAACCTTAGTTCGTGTCATGGTTATATAACAACTCAAATGATTGTAGTAATTAATGCAAGCACACACTATAGTATATACTTATCAACTAATTTGCATCGCTATAGTTCTGAAAACAAGTGTGTCGTATTAAGTTTACAACATATTTACATATCTGTAGGTGGCAAGTGTTTAATTAACTGAAAACTGTCTCGATTAAAATCGACTCTTTTAAGTAGCAAAATTCAAATTCGCAAATCTATTAAGTATGTATGAACAGAAGTATGTAGGTATGTAAGTATGAATAGCACATTCATTTCTTTTTCACCTTTAATTACAAGATTTTTCCATTTATTTGATAAATATTCAAATGGCTTAATTAAAAATATAATTGCACGTACGTACATACATATGTGCATATTAAAATAATAAAATCGTATTAAGCTTCGATGAACTCTTTTGCTCCAAGATGCTGACAACCTTATCGCTAGGCCAAATTTGAAGAGAAACGGACTTCTGCCTCTCCATACAGCAGGTCTGCTCTGGTCATCGTTTCCACTGGATCCCTACATGAGCATGATCCGGTCTTGAAACCTTCTGTGCATCGCCGCATGTTTTCATAGAATTTTCGAGTAACAACAAAGCTCCGTTGTATTGAGTTGCTGCTGAGTTCTCTCAGAAAGCAATAAGAACATCGGGTAGGGCCATCTAGGACTCTGTCTATCACAACATGATCGATTAAGTCCACACCACCTCTAACCATCTATTCGTTGATTTGAAAGCACCCTCGGATAGCGCGAAAAGGAGCGCAAAAGCATCAGATGGAAAAGCATCAGATCCGAATGACATGGAACGGCTAAAAGAAGAAACGACTTGCGCGCTATTGTAATTCGGCTATAATCGCCGAATTAAGAAGAAGAAATATAATCTCAACAAATTACTATGCAGATGGTATTAACGATAAAAGTTACAGTTGGCCAGAGTAGGACGCAAGCGGAAAAATCTTGTTTATTCATCTCTTATAAAAACATTTATGTTCTTTGCTCTTTTCACACACACACAAACTGTTTACAATATTTTTACAAATTACCTCATCATTCAGCTTAATTAAGCAATTGTTTAATTTGTCAATCGTGATTAGCATCTTTAATATAATAAGTAAAATATGCCTTAGCCATTTTCACCTCACATTTCACTTTCAGCTCTTAAACTTTATTACAAAGTAAATATAAAACTTTTTTTTTTTTAATTACATTTCCTGCTCAACGCAGTCTTAATCTCTTATTCGTAAAAAGCCACGGCTTGAAGTTCGTTTTCGGCTTGAAACGAATTAGCTGGCTTTTGCCAAATTGGTTAGAAATAAATCTAGAATTTTTTATTAATGTCGTGGTGAGAGAAGTGCTCAAGTTTCTGATAAAAGTAAATTAAAATCAAATGTAAAAATATATTTTAATTTCAGAAGAATTCTTTTGCAATTAAATCACCTTTAATGCAACTTTCAACAATAGAAGAATTAAGTTCTGTCCAAAGTCGACCGATAAACTGCAATTATAAACTATATGAAATTATTATTAATAGTAATGAAATATAATATTTCCTGATAATTGCAAATTAAATTCGCAATTAACACGGCAGACTCATAATTACAAAAAGAATGGTGAAGCAATTTTTGGCACCAAAGAATCCGAACATAAATGCGAAGCTAATAAAAATCGATTCTAATACCTACTCATTTGGAAAAAATTTAATTACCCAAAATAGTGGAAATAAATCAAATGCTCGCGAGTGGGCGGTTATGATTTTATCTAAGGTATTAATAAATATGTATGTAAACGATAAATTTATCCAAAAGCCAAAATTGAACGCTACTTTATTGCATTGTTAATCAATTTTTTTACTGAAGTGTACTTAACTGGTGAAAAACCACAATAAACTAATTAGCAATAAGCACTCACACAAACGTACGTACGCGCATTTGTGTATGTAACTGAATAGAAAAATCAATTTAGTCAATTTCATATGGAAGTCATCTCAAATAACATCTCTTATAGAGATTTCTGTGTAATACTGATATGTGACTCTAGGCTCAGGCAGTTTTCCTGAACACTGCTTCGAACAATAATACAAATAAAATGCAAGAACTCTTTCCCGAAAACTCCTATTGCTCATCGGGCGTCCTCATCGTACACGCCTCAGAGCTATATAAAGAGAGAGCGAACAAAAAGGGTTCTCTGAGCTTAAGATCGTTTGTCGAGAACTTTCCAGTTGTATACTCAGCCCAAAGTTGCACCGGTTAGCAAGATTAATTAAGTCATTCCAGCGATAAAACAAGACAGTGCGGGCAAACACTCTTTCTGGCATTTTAATGCAAGACACATTCATATGGATTTTTTATGCAGTCGAGCAAACACAGGACGGACAACCGGTGACCAAATATTTTACATAGTACCACGCAGAAGGGCTGGACGGATGAGAACTCATAATTTCGAATACTATCACGGCAAACGTAGAGTAGAGGGTAGAGATTTGATTTCATACACCTGAAATGACCGGCATCGGAATGTACATTTGTTCAACTGGCTGATGTTCTCCCTAAACGTATGGCTGACATCACCGTCCAATATTGGCTCCTACAACGACTCAAACGTGCGTAAACGAATACAATGAAGGTCGTATATCGAGAAGCTACAACGGTTTTCTACTCGAGAGTAGTGGAGCTACAAGAAGAGGAGGATCTCTCCTCAGGTGGGCATAGCAAGGAAAAAAGGTATAGGAAGAAGAAAAGGCTGATACTTGCAGTTTTTCATCGCAAAAGATAGCTATCGAATATACTTACTGACATAACTAATGAAAAGAAGATACGATTAACTACCATATTGTTGCGAAAATGCGAGGCGAATGTCAGATGAAAGAGAGAAGCCGATAACTAGTACGTTCTAGAAACGATAAAACAAGAACCTTCCATAGCGAACAATTCGATGCTTCTACGCTTTCGTCTGCGAGCAGCCGACTGCTATATAAAGGCGACACTCAGCTGCAAGTCAAGTTAGTGATAAAGCAAACTCGTTGGCGTTAACATCAGTGAAGTCGTAAAGTAAACACGTTGGAGAGTACATTTAAGTAGAGTGAATAGTGCAAGTTGATGATAGTGATTGTAAATAGTAGAGTGTATTGTAATTGTATTGTGAATCACGGAGTAAATAAAAGACATTAGATTAATTCTTTATAAAGAAAGAAAGTGCAAATTAAGTTGGCGAGTTTTATTTAACAATCCAGAGATCGTACCCGAAAGATTTGGAAAATAATCGAGGTTGATTTAGTAAAATCGTAACAATATGTTCTGCATATCTTAAGAACATTCAAAAAATTTCCAGAGCTGTGTACGAGCCATTATTGAGGTATATAAGGGAGCGGCGAACGCAGTGGTAATTGAGCTACAAAGTAAGCGCGTTGGCGACAACGCTACTGAAAAGTGAAATTATTAGATGAGATAATTGTGAAATAAGTTGTTGTGTAAAGTATGGCTCATTTTCATTCACTTTCCAATTAAGAAATGTTACAACGAATATCGTTACCATTTTATAAATAGTGGCATCACTGCAAGGAAAAAAACAACTAAATTTCAGCAAAATTCTTGCCAGTGGATTAAAGTAATAAAATTTAGTGAGGATGTCCTCACTATTTGTCAGCGTATTGCGTCAGGCAATTAAAACTTTCGATCGAGCTAACAGTGCGGCATTTAATGTGAACTTCGCAAAGCTAAAGCAATTAACTGAACAGCTGACCTTCCGTGATATCCACTTACAGCCACAACAATTCGAGACTGTATTCAAGAGATCTGGAAGAGCGCCTTGTACATTTGTGCATATTTTTGAAAATGATTTTTTGTCTATGAGTGTATTTGTGCTGCGGGAAGGTTACACAATGCCACTTCATGATCATCCATGTATGTATGGTGTACTACGCGGCATTTTTGGAAAGCTAAGAATCCAAAGCTATACTAAAGCGCAATTGGAACCAAATGAACCACCATATGATGGTATAGCTCTAGAAGTATATGCACATGAAAATGAACCCAAGATAGTTGATTCGGGGACAGAGTGTGCGACCCTAACCCCTATCGAGCGCAATTATCATGAAATAACTGCGGTTGGTGGTGTAGCGGCTTTCTTTGATATACTTAGCCCTCCTTATGATGCAGATATCCCTAAGTACGGTAGTCGACAGTGTAGTTTTTACCGAGTCTTGGGTAAACAACCATCAACGGGGATTAATATCAACTCAGGATTAGTGGAAGAACAGGCAGAAAATGCGCCACTAACCTACCTACAATGGATACCGGCACCACTAAATTACCATTGTGATATCCTTGATACCCCTGAAGAGGTGCTCCAAAGTACAGCACCCTTTTTAGAAGACGAGAACAATTTGTTTTAATAATTTTATAGACGGAAATTAATGCCAAATTTTAATTTAATATAGAAATACATGTATGTTTGTATGTTAAGTAATTGATTAACGGCTCTTTTTTTAGAGTTGAGACTGTTTGAATTTGCATCACATGTGAAAATGATGTTTTAATTGTTACTGCTGAGATATAAAGTGAGAATGATAATAAATAAATTATATTAATTTAAAATAAAAAACTAAATTTTCAATCAAACACTTTATAAATGCATTGTAGGTTTTTCACGGTAACGCATATAAGTTTATATTGTAAAATATTCAATCAATATTAATAACTTCAATCACATCTTTGCTTGAGATACGACGTTGGCGCTTAGACTCTGTTGGGCCTTCTTCATCGTCATCTGAATCTTTAATCTCGGTGATATCATCATGAAATGACGATGACGGTTTGCGTTTGTTAGAACGGTGTATAGGTGTTGTTTCTTTAACACTAACGGTCAACTTATCGGTAGCGGCGACAACCTTATCTTCAACAGTAGCTTCATCTTCGTCATCTTCAATTAAGCATAAATCATCATCGTCCTCCACAACTTCTGTCACGCGACTCTTCTTAGAGGTGGATGGACCGGCAGCTTCATCGTACTCTTCGTTTGTTTGGGATTTTTTTTCGCCGTTACTCTCTTTTAAGGGTGTTTCCTCTCCTTTTTGTTTTATTTGATTACTTTCGGAAGCTACTTCAAATAATGCCTCGTCACGTTCTGAATCAAAATGTATAACGATAACATCAAGTTCGTAGTTTTGAAAAAAATCGTCACATTTGAGTATAACACCATCAACGATACCCATCTCCGACATGAGTTTCTCTTCATTACTCTCGGTCTCGCCTTCTTCGGAAGATATAACCACAATACCCTTATTTGGTTCCACCACATCCGGATTAACCATATTTAAAGTTTTAATGAGAACTTCGTCACGGAAGTCCTTTATACGCATACGTTTGGTGTCGATTCGAATATGTACGGCTGGTTCCGAAGAACAAACTATGCAGTTTGGATTCGGTGCAGTTAGGAACTTTTCCGGTACTAATAGCTGCTGACGCGGATTTTGACGTAAACGCATGTAGACAGACTTACACTTTTCTAGTTCACCTTGCAAAGCTTTAAAAGTTTGCAAAACTACTACCCCAGCGGTTATTGCATTGGTGGTAGCAATAGCTGGAATAATATTCCCAGCCATGCTCTTTACCTCAAAACGCGATTTTCGTCCAATTTCAAATATATATGCTCGTATATTAGCACAAGCTGCAACAAAATCCATAGCAGGTTGGTCATCTTTGTCCCACACCAGCGTTTCACCTTCGCCCAATTTTAAGAAGCCTGTACTAAGTTTCTTTACGCAATCGGCAAATACATTGGCGCACTCTGCTAGTGACCAGACTTTATGATATTGCCGTGTGGGTTCCTTTGAGGCATCAGCTGTTACTTCTTTCTCACCATTATCTTGATTCACTAAAACATTGTCCCATTTTAAAGGTGTTGGTGCTTTTCTTTCCTTCCACAAATTAGACATGGATAACAAGTATTTTATATCATCATAGAAGAACTTATTAAATAGTGTAGCAGCGTCATAGTTAGAATCCTTTGCCCATTGACGTGTATTAACACGAACTACGTTCCCTGTCTCAGTTTCAGGGATAGATTTAGGTTGTCCCTTTTTATCGTTGGCTTTTTCCTCTCCTTCCCCAGTTTCATTAGCTTCAGGATCAGCCATATCAGGTGATATGTCTTCATCTTCAACACTTTCACCGAATAATTGGCTAAAATTATTTTAAATAATTACAATTCATTTTATTAATTTGTAATTTTTTTTTACTTACTTGAACAAATGTTTAGCCCATACAATACAGTGAATAGGTTCAGAAGGTGTATTCCGTATAGTACAGCCAGGGAAAGTTTTTTGTTTAGCTTTTGGTGTGCACTCATAACACTGAGTTAATCCTTTTTTGATTAATTCCACTTGTCCGTTATAACCAGCAGTTCCACTCTCTATAAGTGGCACCTCCGCATGTAAACACATCCGATTGACATGATTACGAGCAGCGCGATTGTCAAGGGCATTTAAGACAATGTCGAATTTCTTGAAAAAATTTACGCCATATTCGGTGCTAAAAAAAAATAATACTAATACTAATGAATAAATCTAATGCAAAAGAAAAGATTTAACTTACGCCATAATGCTATCGTGATATGCTTGGATTCTTACATCCGGATTGAATTGCAAAGCGCTCTCGCGCGCCACCTGCGCTTTAGATTTTCCAACATGTTCCCGATGGAATAGAAATTGTCTATTGAGATTGCTCAAATCTATGGTATCCAAGTCAATCTATTTTAAAAATAAAAAGTATTATTTAATTTCTTTATTTTTTAGCATAGATACTACTTACAATTTCAATATCAGGAAATCCCGACAAGACAAGATTTTTCAGTATCTCGCAACCGATTCCACCGGCTCCAACCACTAATATTTTTGAGTTTTGGACACTTTCCTGTAATGTTGATGGAAAAACACCTCTTAGTGCAGCCGCCATGGTTCCAAATCAATATTCACTTATTTTTCGGAGAACTTTGTATTATTTAATATTTTGTACGCAAGAAACGAACTAAGCAAATGTGATTCAATAAAATCTTGACAGAAAAAGACGCTATCAATCGTGCTGCCATTTGGTTTTAATCTACAACTGGCCACACGGACCACCCATGCCACCAGACTATTACATTTTTAATATTAATTTTATACAAATGGCACATCACATCCCGGGTTGGAACAAAATAGGCTTTCAGCAAACCATCGCAATTGAGAAATTGTTACAAAACCAGAATCGAAGTGAAAAATTTTATAACAATTCTTGCTAATTGTTATTGAAAATCCAAGGTATCATAATAAAAATATACAATATACACTTAATTATTGAAAGTTTATTGTTACACATTTTAATTTCCTGAGACAACGACACTTTAGAAGTATTTAATATAATTTTTATACTTCAAAAATTGTTCAAAATAATTTAATTTATTAATATTTTTGTGGTTTTAGTTGTGCTATGGCCATATGGTCATTTTCGATGATGGCATTTATTTTGGCATTTTTAAATTTTTTGAATTTTTTTATTAATTTCAACATAACACGACAACTTTTTCTAACATTAAATAAACGTCATGGTCGAGTTCTTTCAAATACAATACCTAGCCAAGAGATCTATACTCAGATTTCTAGAAAAAAAACGCATGTTAGATTTTAAAGCATCTGAAGACAATTTATAACAAATTATAATTTTCTATTGCTCCGGCAGCCCATTTGATTAAAATATCATTTCACTGTATTTTGGAAACAAATCCTGTTGTGGTAATCGGAAACAAGTGGAATATTTATTTTATTTAATTGAATTTATATGATGCAATAAATTTAATTGCGCCTAATAAAATAAATAAGTATGAAAATAGCATGCAAATAAAATAAACATCGATAGTAAAACGGTGAAACGAACTGTCTACTGTTTATTTTATCATAAAGGTGCAGGTGAAGGTGGCGCCAGGTGGATGCAACTGGAGACGTAGATGTGTTTCACATAGATTAACCACCACCATACGAACAATAAATACAAACTGCTGTTGGTGGCGACGGCGCAAATGAGACTATCCATACATAACGTCGAAAAAAATGACAAAATTAAATGAAAGGAAAATAGAAAAATTTTCAGTGAAAAATTGTTTCTAGTGGTGAGCGGATCAAAATACGCAATAATTGTTTTTATTATACAAAATAAATACATACACATAACTTGTTAGCACTCAGCTAGTGAAAAATACCTGCGATTAATTGTGGAGAAAATATCTACTACTTTAATATATGTAAGCAACACAAATTAGCGACATTGAAATATATCATACCAAGAAGCACCACTTAATAAAAACTCTTTGTGAAAATTTCGCAAAACTAAATACAATAATTGTAATTAGTTTATTGAGGTTGAGGCAGAAATATGGCAGAGGTACGACGTCGAAAAACCGAGAACGATGTCAGTGATGATGCTGGAGAAAAAGCACGAAAAGGGGACAATCGAAACTCCGCAGCGGACTCATCTGATCATGTAAGTGGTTGCCATAAATTACAAATGGGTACACACAAACATATTTTTAAATTCCACCTGGAATTGCTAGGAAATAATTAAATTGAAACTGTGCAAACCATATGTTCGTATGTATGTCTGTTGAAATGCAAAAAAAATTCTTGAATACAAATATCAAATCATAGATTCGGCACTGTCTTAACTAATCTGTTTAAGGTTATTTTGAGATTTAGAAGCACTCGAATCACTGATTTAAATGATTGTAAAGATAACACAATCTTTATGGTTTTACTTGCTACATACGCATATATGTATGTATGAATGTATGCACCTTCGTATGTGAGCATTTATTTACATTTCGAACTGTTTTATACAATTAATATGCTCGTTGCTAATTACAAAAAAAAAAAACCAATTTTCTAAAGAAAAAAGTCAATAGTTTTATAGTATTTTTTCCAGTGCTAGTTTTTTTTAGTGTGTTTTTAATATAAATATGTTACCAATTTTGCCAACTAGAGCTTCACTGGCTGGTCAAAAGTCCACACGCTAAGGGGAAAGTCCTATCATGATTAACATGTTAAGTAAAAATATGATAATTTAAATCAGTTTTCTTTTAGGTGCATTTCCATTACTTGTACATATAGATAGTATGACAATAAGTTAAATAATACGGAACTAATGTAATGTTGCTTCAAGTAGGTACATATATATATGTGTACATATGTATGTTCCAAACATATATATGTACATATGTACATAAATAAAGGGAATCCAATTAGCGCTTTATTCAATATGCTCATATACCTTTAGACACATTCAAACATATGAGTATGCATGTATATGAGAAAAGACATACACTTGATTGCTTCAACAATCTGAATAATATATGTAGGTATGCAGGTGGATACGTATGTTGTATTCAGTTACATTTTAAGAGTTGCATTGTTTCAGTGGCTATGAATAAAAAATACAAAAATATATACATATATATGCGTACATACGTAAAGATGCGCTAAATAAACAATAAATTGGTAGATATGTATGTTCAAATGATAAAAAAAAACTTCAAAATTTTTTAATTACATTAGCACACTCACTATAAGTGTACGCGTCCCTGAAGAAAACTGCTTGTTTTAGCGTTGATCTATTTACGCAGACTCTCAGACTATGGAACCAAAGAAATAGCCTTGTTTAAAATGTATATTATTTGTGTTACCTTAATAACCACTGAGCTTTAAACCTGTTTGTATGTACATATGCATTTATTTATATACATTGTGCGCCTACGGATGCAGTCAAACATTCATGCTGTTTAATGCTTAGATAAAATGCATACAAAGTGATAAATTAATATTTATGTCATATTCCCGCTGATAATTCTGGTAGCGATAACCGTTTTCTTCCAACAAGGATGATATTTTATTTAACCTGGTATATGTTTATTAAATATAAATACATACGCACAGACAAACCTTTGCATATGTGCACAAAAATTAAAAAATTATAATAAGTGTGTATTGGTGTTGTGTTTACACAATTTGTTAAGAATCACTTTCGTTTGAAACCAATCCTCAATTTTCTTTCAATGATATTAATACATACACATATCTCTTTAATAAAAATTAATTGAACTATTAGTTTATTTATTACTTGCTTACTTGATTAATCCTAAAGTGCTAATAATAATAATAAAATAATTTTTAATTTAAGGTCGACTCAGAGGAAGAAAAGTTACCAGAAGAGAAATTCGTTGATGAGTTGTCAAAAAGTTTACCACAAGGAACGGATAAAACACCTGAAATTTTAGATTCAGCATTGAAAGATCTACCGGATAGGTAAATGGCTAAAACTACTGGGTCTCACAAATACATATACATATATACATTGCGAAAAATACTCTTAATTGGATGCATTCAGCCACGAATTTGGTGTAGCTTTTGGTTTTAATAATCACTTTCTTGCTCTTAGTTCTCCTTTTTTGTACATATTTCTATCGTTTTATTATTTATTAGATGGAAGAATTACGTTATTCGCGGAATCTTTACATGGATTATGATTTGCGGTTTCGCCCTTATAATATATGGCGGTCCATTGGCGCTTATGATAACGGTGACTTAACACTTTTAATATACTAATAGAAAATAAACAATGCGAATTTCTATTATTTTTCGTTGTAGACTTTGTTGGTACAAGTAAAATGTTTCCAAGAAATCATATCCATTGGTTATCAAGTTTATCGCATACACGGTCTACCATGGTTCCGTAGCTTGTCTTGGTACTTCCTGCTAACATCTAACTACTTCTTCTATGGTGAAAATTTGGTCGACTATTTTGGTGTGGTTATTAATCGTGTGGTAAGCAATGAAGTCAGATTACAATAAAAAAGCTTAAAATGTTTACTATTTTCACTTTTTGTACCTCTCCTTCCAATTATTTAATGCCAATGAATATCTGACGTAAACATAGGAATACTTGAAATTTTTGGTAACCTATCATCGCTTCCTGTCATTCGCGTTATACTGCATTGGGTTTGTCTGGTTTGTTTTGTCGCTGGTGAAGAAGTATTATATGAAGCAATTTAGTCTATTTGCCTGGACACACGTCTCACTCTTGATAGTGGTCACGCAGAGCTATTTGATCATTCAAAACATATTTGAAGGTTAGTAGAATGTGTCCACTGTTTGTTTGATAACAAAACGTATGACTATATTATTTTATTTTTTTTTTTTATAAAGCTGTATTTTATACAGATATGGCAAATACTTGATTAACGTTATCTACTTTGATTAGGGCAGATACTTTAAATTTATAAATACCATTAAATATTAAGTAAATTTTATTGGAATATTTTCACAAAACGATTACATATTACAATTTTAAATGCTCGTCATAATCATGACCCAGAAGTGGTTACTTTTGGTTTCTTATTTTGAAATTGGACACTTAATGACATAATTACCTCAATATTATTGTTCAATTTTTTTTTATTTTTTAGCTCTCATTTGGTTCATTGTTCCCGTCTCGATGATAGTTTGCAACGATGTAATGGCCTATATGTTTGGCTTCTTCTTTGGTCGTACTCCGCTAATTAAATTAAGTCCGAAAAAGACCTGGGAGGGCTTTATTGGTGGTGGCTTTGCTACGGTCATTTTTGGCATCATCTTCTCTTACATTCTCTGCAATTATCAATATTTTGTATGTCCCATTCTATATTCAGAAGAAGTGGGACGTATGACTATGGCTTGTGAACCAAGCTATTTGTTTACGAAACAAGAATACAGTCTAGGTGTGGTAAGTACTCTGTCAAGTAAATAAAATCAATGGCATTTGAAACCATTAAAAACTTATTTAATTTCGCTATAATTGCAGTTTGGTATCGGCAGGACAATTAATATGTATCCTTTTGTATGGCACTCAATTGCATTAAGTTTGTTCAGCTCGATTATTGGACCTTTTGGAGGATTCTTCGCTTCTGGTTTCAAGCGTGCATTTAAAATTAAAGTAAATTCCAAGCTGTTATTGCAATATTTATAGATTCCACTAAAAAATATCTCTGAATTTATTTCATCAGGACTTTGGCGATATGATTCCCGGTCATGGTGGAATTATGGATCGTTTCGATTGTCAATTCTTAATGGCAACTTTTGTAAACGTTTACATATCCAGTTTTATCAGAACACCTGCACCATCAAAGATATTAACACAGGTGCGATAAATTTATTTGAAAAAGAGTTTTCGTAAAAATATTAATATTCCTATTTAATCATCCTAACTCTCTTTCTCTCTATCTTCCTGCTAGATTTACAATTTAAAACCCGAACAACAACTTCAAATTTACCAATCACTCAAAGATAGTCTCGGCGACTTGATTTCCAACTAGAGATTTTGTGAAAACTATTAATTTTAAGCTTATATTACTACTGACAAAACAAACAATTTTTTTTTTCAAGTCATTTATGTACTTGCTTATTTGTTTAGACATGTTCAATTCGTTATTAATTTAAGAGGTTTCATCTTAGTTGATAGCAAAGTGAAGAAAAAAACTTTAACAAAACAGCGATCTCCTCTATTAATGCTGACTTTGTATAAGTGTATGTATGAACAAAAAAACACATTGACAAGTTGTTTAATGGGAGCCTCTTCAAGAGGATATGTTGAATTTAAGGGAAATAATTTATGATCGCTTGAAAGAGCAACTATATTTAGCTTCCTTTAGTCTAATAACAATTTAAATATAAATTGGTTCATATTCGTGAATTGGCAATTATGCGCTAACACAAAAGAATACTATATTAAAAACTCAAAGGGTGATATCGCTTTTTCGCCATTTCACAACGATTAACCATTTGCAGTTATTATACATGTAAGTTTGTATATTTTTTTAATTCATGTCTTCTCTATTACTGAACGAGTCAAAAAAATGGAGAAAAAATCTTTGTTTATTGTGAGGGTATGTAGCAAGGGGAAAAACACTAAATAATATTGAAAAAACATTTCGAAACACTTAAATGACTACAAAAAATTCAATTTAAATATATAAATTAATGTTTTTGCATATAACAATTGAAGTTTGGTTTAGTTAGAAAAAATAAGAGTTTCATCGTATTATGTATATATATATTTTTTATTTTACTTTATTTTATTACTTCTATTAAGTTTGTGTTGTGGAATTTCTCAAATTAATTTTAAAATCAAACAGTCAAGCTTAAAAACTAGAATTCTACTTTTTTTTTGATTAGGAGATCACAAAAGTCGATGTCAACTCTGCTGATTCTGTAAAACATTACCAATTGACGTAAATATTTAGCAACTTAATGGAAATGTGAGTCAGAAAATGTATGGTAAGGATGGAATGAAAACTATGATGGTTAGCAAAGTTTAATAAATATGCTCATAACAACTAGTTACATAGAATTGGCTACGAACGTAATATTTGAATAATGTGAAGTGAAAATACTAGAAAAGTAATAAAATATTTAATACCAAAATTTGTCACAAATATGTGTATAAATACATAATGATATATATTTACTATTGAGTTACGATATGAATCTAGTGCAATACTTAAACTAAATCACTTTTTCCTGGTAATGGTAGGAAATGAAGCAATTAAAGCGACGAAATTAATTTAAGTTTTTTTTACTTCAAAATTTTTAATGTTAATTTATGCAGCAGTGTTTAGAGTAAATATTCGTATTATTAAATCAATTGTTATTATATTAATTATATTTAAAGAGACATCAAGACAAATACACATACATTCAAAATGCATATTATTAATGAAATTTAAATGTTATTATGCAGAGTACATTAAACATTTATAAATATATGAATGTATTATAGTCGTGTTAAATGAATAAAATTAAATGAAAACATCAGCTACTATTGAAATAGAAATTTTAAAATTATATTTTGGAAGCAATGTTGTATATGTAGTAGGTTCCTCTGATGCGTGTATGTGCAAAATAATTAATTTTAAATAATTGAAAGACGACGGATATTTGTAAAGGTGAGTTTTGTTTTTGTGTTGTTAAGGCGTAATGAATCAACATAAATCAATCCTACTGGATTGTGCAGGAAGCCAGATAAGCGCGGTCAGAGATAACTCATTAAATGTGTTTTTTGAATGCTTGACTTTTGCAATGTTGTCATCTTGGTTTTTTGGTACGTTCAAAGAAGCGGCCAAGCTCAGGCTGCATTAGGAAATCGTTTGGCATTTATTAAATATAATATATAGTATGTTTTTATGTAGTATGTATTTGAGAGCAGAAGTTATAATTACTTCATATATAAAATATTGAATACCTGAGTATTGTGAAATAAATGTGTAACTCAAAATAAAAGGAAAATTAAATGTTTTTTTTCTTTAAAGGTGCCTAAGGATATAATAAGGACTCATTTTGTGTACCCATACCAGCCAAATGTTATAATATATGTACTTACTCGTGTATATCTTAAATGCTCATATCTAAATATATGTAAATGTATGCCAGCGAAGAAGAGTTTTTATTCCAAAACAGGTTACTTGTTCACTCAGCTGAGCGTGTCACATTATTCTAATTATGCCCACAATATTGTCATAAAGCTATTCCATTACAGTAATTTATGTATATTATGTTTTCTCCATTTAATTTTTTTTATAACATAAAAATAACTAAATTCTAATTAAGATAATATTCCCGTACATCGTACTTCAAAAATGAAGCAAGTAATATTTAATTTTAATTATGTATGTATGTAAATGCGATATATACACTTAATGCTAAAAAAACGGCACGAAAGAAATCTGGCAGAGCTGTAAAGTGAAATTGTATACAATCGGAATAAAATAATATTAATATTGTATAAAATAATACATACATTAATAAATTAATTTTATGAAATTCAATAATAATTTCAATTAATTGTGAAATTAATAAGCATTTTATATAGGTAATGACCCAAATTTTACAAGAAAAGGAATTGTATTTAGAATTTTTAATGTATTCTTGAATTAAATATCTTTTAACGATAAAGTAAATTAATACTTTTCAAATTTTTTATCACTCTTGCACAATTAATTTGAGTAATTTCATTAATTTTCACATTCGACAGCGAATTCTCATTACAGCTCTCTCTTGCAAAACTTGCCATTTTAAGCCTTGCTGATTTGTTTTGTTGTGTCATTAGCTGTTGTTAGACACTCTTCTATGCCTTCTTTAGTTATTTCTGTTGTTGTAACTCCGTTTGTAACGGCAATTTTTGATATTTTGATTTTCGGAATTACAGTTCTATGCATATCTTCTATACATTTCGCACTAATTTCATGATACAGTCCACGCTCACGAGCCGACTTTAAGAGGCTATGCCAAACTGATACCGTCTAAAAATATAAATTTAAGATAAATATTTGTCAGGAATATCATATTTCTAAATTATGTATTTATATTAAGATTTTCGTAATTGTAAATAGGTGACTTTGAATTAATGCTAGCCTGGTTATTATTTATTCACAAGGACATTACATAAACACAAAATTGCTATTACCGAAATGTACTGAGACAACATCGACAAATTATCAATAAAACAAATATCACTTGAGATTTCCATATTAGCTGAGTTTTTATACAGAACTTATTAACCTCGGAATTGCGTAATTTTTTCAATTGAATACATTAAACTTAAGGGACGTAGTGAATATAAAGATTCAAAATTCTTTCAAATATGTTCTGGAAAAAATTAATTGCAATCAATTTACGAAATAAAATAATAATAATATAAGAACTCGCCCTCAAAAAAACTACATTTCCTGATTTTCTTCTTCATATGTGCAATACAAAAGGAATTTAGGCGATACTTTTTCCTTCTTGGTGGATATTGAAGATATTACTGTATGGCAAACACAGGTTCGGCTAAGAGCTACACTACCTCGCCTATAAAAAGTTGAAATGAGAAAAGCAATTATAAAAACCCGATTAGATGTTATCAACTCTGTTGTGACGTAATGGCGGAGAAGAAATTTTATATGGGCCGACCCAAAGAATTTCTTGAGTTATTTATGCCAGCAATTCACACAATAACAGAAAAAAATAAATAGTATACACACACCAGATGCCTATATCCCACTTCTGATTTTAATTTCGTTACTTTTACAGTGAGTTTCATAATTATTATATTTACCTCCAAGTCCTTAAAGTTTCCACATAATATAAGACACTTTTTTGGTCTGGTCAAAGCTACATTCAAACGCTGGTAGGTTGACAAAAATCCAACACCACTTGTTCGAGCGTTCGATATAATAATAACATCACGTTCCGTTCCCTGATAAGAGTCTATGGTATTTACAGTTACATTTGAACAACCCGAGACACTATAGACGAAATAATAAAATAACACAATCATTTAGACTATGATTATTTCACTACTTAAAATACTTACCGCATTGCGCCTTCTAACGCTCTTCGCTGCAAAGCATAAGGCGTTATCACACCGTATGAATTGTATTTCATAGGTATATAGCCATCCAACGTTCTCACCAGACGTGCTACAAATTTTGCTTCCAGCTCGTTAGCAATTTGACCGTTTCGACAGTTGTTATCTTGTGAGTAAGTCAAATTAAATACTGAAAATGGACTTAATGGTGTCTTAAATTGATAAGTTCTAGGATCATCGATTAATTCGTTTTTATAAAAGTACGAATTTGGCCATTTACAAATTTCAGGATGCATGCGGTATTGGGTTCGTAAGCTAAAAATAATATCTGTGCTATCTAAACTGTTGGCATTGCTTTCCTTGTTCTCTTTGTCGGCGTTTAAATCGTTGGCTACGGTCTTAAGGGTAACAGATTCTATACATCGCTGAATTCGTGTGAAGAGCGACGTACCAAGACCAAAATCAGATGCTTTCTGTAAACAAACAGTTTTAATTTAGTTTATGGAAAAAACATGCGTTGATAAAAAATTGTTTTAATTAAGCAGACCTTTGACATCACCGTAGCTGGCAGTTGCTGTGTATCCCCGACAAGCACCAACGTATTAATACCAAATTTCAATGGCATTAAAGTCCATGGTTCAGTACATTGTGTAGCCTCATCGATGATGCAAACATCAAAATAGCTGACATATTTGGACAACTTTACACAGCTGGACAGTGTCGTGCATACAACATTAGCATGTTTCAAGTGCCAATTGTAGAGACTACGCTCATCCTCTGGCCGTAGAACACCATTCACTATATAGCGCATTAAGTCTATTTGCTGCTGCTTCTCAAGTAGAACGTTTTCCTGCACAGTCCCTTTAACATTGTTCATCTTGATGTGCTCGATAGTGGCTGCAATTTCCATCATTTCACTTCGTAAATATTCTTTTATATCGACTTTGTTATCAACTTGAAGATTTTTATATGTCGCCTTCAGTTTTCTCATGTGGCTGCGCTCTATGATCTTTGGTAGAGTAGCATGTTGCACCCTTGAATTAACCCGATCCAATACACCAAATCGTATTAGACGGAACATTTTATCTGGAGTCTTTGTTTGACTCATATTGAACAATTTCTCAGCGATAACGTCAACAGCCGCGTTACTTTGAGCACAAATCAATACTTTTTGGTCGAGAATTGGAACCTCGTTGCCGTAGAGCAATTGATGTACCAAATTTGCAATTAAACAAGTTTTACCTGTGCCAGGCGGACCTTGTATTAATGTTATATTCGGTGTTGGGTCGATAGCATGCCTATATGTGCGGATTAAAACATCCTTTTGGCGACTATTCAACTGATCACAGCCGTTATATGATATATCACAATCAGAATATTGTTTGATTTTGCACAATTTCATCGGATTGAGAATTTGCTCTAGCAGAGGTGATTGCTCCAATTGGTATACAGCATTAAAAGCACCAAATTCAACCCTTGCTAACTCTATCATTGGTATAACTTTAACAGGTGTGTTTAAATTGGATCGTAACTCATCTAAAGGCAAATCTTTTGCCAGCACTTCGTACACCAGTGTCACATTGTTGAAGCCTACACGTTTGGAGGACATAAATGCGAATGTCGTGAACCTACCCCACTCTAATACAACTAATTCATGTTTGGTCTCATTACATTTAGCCCCATTGCAACGTCCCAAAATAATGTATCGATCCAAATATGGAGAAACTTGGTCGGCGGATATAGAAAGCGACTTTGCTTTGTGTTTGGTATGATCACGCTCCAGTGTACTTATGAACTCCAATCTCATTAAGGGTAAAATTATGCTGAAATATAATGAAAATCGGGGAATTAAAAAAATTAAGGTAATATCAGTTGTTCTAAAACACTATTTAATAAACTTTTTCGGAATTGTATCAAATTCGGTTCTGTATCAAACTCATTCACTTTACGAATAAAATTAAATTAAATTAAATAGGTGGGCTAAGGCATGCTACAGATGAAATTTGAAAGTATAATTTCGAACCACAAAAAAAATTTTAATTACCTTTTATAATGCTCAAAGGAGGCAAATTGATTTGGCATAGGTAATAAGACGTCACTTGCAGCATCCACTTGCGCGTTACGATTTATCAGCCATTCATTGCACCATTCTAATATATGTGATATTATTTCAGCCGTTTTGTCAACTATAGCGTATGCTAAGCGCACTGATTTTTCTCGATCTGCACATCTTGGACTTGGCTGGATATCTTTTCGATCCACTCTTTTATTGGCGCCACTTACTCGCTCAATGTAGTGTACAACCGGAGTTTCATTAAAGCGTACTCGTTTCTTTGGCCGATCGCTGTTTTCGTTCCGATCTACCACATCAAACCGGTGATTGGCGAATTTTTCCAACAGCTTTTGGTTTATTCTAGATTCAATAAAATTCTTTTGCATTGATGCAAAAGTAATTTTATTATTTTTTTTGTTACGCGTTGGCGCATTACAAGCTGAAGCTTCTGTACTATTGGCCTCTTCAAGAGAAAATGATCGTGATATTGGCTTACCAATATTACTGTTAGAGATTCGACGGGTTGAAATATTGTCCGCTTTGCTTATTTCTTGGCCAAATTGATCTAAAATTTCCGCAGGATTATATTTGGAGGTTGTTGCAGCTGTACTTGTAGATGGCTCATTGACAATCGTCGAAGGTTCAGAGGTTCTTCGCTTGGTTTTGGGTATTCTGTACTGATCGAGCCTTTTTTTGGGTGCAATAATATCCTCTGCAAGAAGTGCCCCACGATTAACTGCTGTGACCTTGATCTTTGCCTTTTTCTTCTCACCACCTTCATTTTCATTTGGATTTTTACGTTTGTGTGGTTCTTTCGTTGAAAGCGTTGATTGCTTATCGGCAAGTTTCTTCAATTGTTCTTTTCGAGATTCTTTAATTTTTCGCTTTTCCTCCCTCTCTTTACGCCTCTGATCTTCTGGTTTCTCAAGCCGTTTCCGTTTTAGTTCTTCTCTATGTCGTTCTTCTTTTAAATGTCCATTGTTGTCATTGGTCAGTTTTGGTTTTATTTCTGCAGAAACACCTCTGTGTTTACCCTTGTGTATAGGCAAATAAGGTGCCTCAATTACAGAAGGTCGACTATAGGTTTTTTTCTCGGATTTAGGCTCATCTTTATTATGAAGCTTTTTCTTTTGCTTTCCATCAGTCGGCACACTACCTTTTAGATCTGAAAGTGTTGTATTATAATATTAAAGTATATTGACAAAAGATTCCACCAACCTTCTTGAGCTTCATTTGATGAACTCCTTGACTTCTTTTCTGGCTCCGACATTCTACGATCTACCTTTATACTTGACTTTTTGTTATATTGTAAAAGGTTGTCGTTTTTGTCAGCATCATGAGTATGATCATCAGCTTTAGATGTTTGTTGGTCAGTTGTAGATATCTCTTTTTTAATTTCACCGTTCTTCATAGCCAATGTTGCAATAACATCATCAACCAGAGCTTCATTGAAAAAATCATCTACGTCTTCGCTGCCATAACCTGACCCTTGTTCTTCTTCACGTCCACTGTCTTCTTCGAACACCTACAAACAGTATTAGAAAGTGTGGTAAATTTTATTTACTTTTCTTAATGCATTTAAATAGAACTTAAAAACCTACTTGTGACATATTCATCTTCTGTGATAGTAATTTTGTACTCCAATCAGAGACTTTGTGCTCGAGTTCTTCATCATCGTCATCTATAGTAATCCAGACATCGTTTTCAATTTCATTGTTTGGAGATTTTTGTTCAGAACGAGTCTGAAATGCATTAGGCAGTTTGTTGTCAATAATCTCTTTTTTAATTTGTATATTCGAAAAGCCGGGAACAGAATCTTTGAAAATATCAAGTGGGACGGCGTTTTCAAGAACTAAGTCATCTTCATAATTGTCACACATCATTTCAGATTTAATGTCATTAATTAACATTTGTGAAAACATCATGTCCTCGTCCAAATCCACATATTCAGCTAATTCTTCCGCAGCTTTCCCAGGGTCGTCTTTAAGTACATTAGCGTCCTGCTTTTCCTCCAAAGTTTTTACTTGTTCGGGATTTATGCTAGCTTCATCTACCGAATTTTTAGAGCTATTAAGAGAATTCTCAAAAAGAAGTGGACTTTTTGTGCCTGCTGTGCTGTCTCTGTTATCCTTCTTACCGGTGAAGCTATCATCATTGTTTTTCTTTTCGAGTCTATGGGTTTTTTCAGTATCTGCTGGCAGTAACGCACCAAAGCATTCTACTTTACGATCTTCGTCCTCAGCGTCACTTAATAAATCAATAGTGTCACCATCGACAAGTTTTTTGCCACCCGATTGACCATTAAGTTTTGTGTATAATAAAGGATTAATGGACTTTACACTCTCAAGAATTACACCATCGGAATCACCGAAAATTTCTACCACATTTTCAGCATATGTGCGTATCAGCTCACGTTTAATTTCAGGTAGAATAGGTGCATGGACAACGGCTTGATTTGCCTGATGCGTAGAAGAGCTTGCTTTGGATATAACATTCGGGAGTGAAGTGGAGGCGCCAGGCGAATCTTTTTGGTTTGTTACATTTTGTTCAGATGTTAAGTTTTTCTTTTCATCGTCATTTACAGATTGTTTTCTCTCTATTTTGATGGGACGCAGAACATCCTCTTCATCGTCACTCAAAATAATTATATCACCAGAAAAAAGTGTTGGTTGTTTTCTAACTGGTTCTGTTGGTTTTGGGACACTTTTCACAGCTGCTGAAGCTGTTACTGATGAAGGAGAAGGATATACTTGTTCTTTTGAAGATATTGCAGAAGGCGAAGATTTTATTTCATCTGATTTAACAATACCTTCTATACTTTGTACTTCATTAGCGCTTAAGATTTCGTCAGCATCAATGTTTTGACCATCTTGTTTTCCGCTTGTTCTTTTTTCCTTATCTATAGCATTTGTACCAGGTAGAGGTACATATAAAAGCTTATATATCGGATGTATCAAATTTGGTTCCGAGTCATCAGAGACACCTACCCCAATGCAATCATTCTCATTTAAGGTGATTTCTGAATTTTGTATTTTACTACCATTTACATATGTACCATTTATGGTATTCTAAAATATAAAAAAAAATCAATTGAAAACTTAAGTTGTTGATCTTGTTGCTGTTTTTAACTACTTACCAAATCCTTCAATACAATTCTCTCAAGGCTGTCTACGCTGATCTCAGCATGTTTCCGAGAAACATACGTCGAATCTGGTATTCGTACAGCGGATCCATGTTGCCGACCAACTGCTGTGACGCCAACGTAGAGCCTGATACGATCTCCAATCACCTGGCGCTCCAACAACCAAGAAGATAATACTCGATTATTTTGGTCCACCATGATACTCTTTCCACGTTCAATCATAAGTTTATTATATATTCATAGAATTTTCCTTTCTATCTTCAGCATTCTTGATAGTTTTATTACATTAAAACTTGTATATTTGTTTATTTACAAATATCAATTTCAGAAACCTGAAATTAAATGTGATAAACATATCCCTTCAAAAATATCAAATAGTAATTCACCACAGGTGTAGTTTTTTTTACAGGGTAACACATGAAATATATCTATATGATTCCCAAAAATGAGCAAATCTTTTGATCGTGGTTACGACAAAAAACGTATATTAATAAGAAGGGAAAAGAACTGTGAATTGTTTACTGAAGTGGCTCAGGTTCTTATTAATATACGTTCTTTGGTTACGACGCAGAAATCTGATGTTTTCTTTTTTCTACATATTCTTAAAATATAGCGGTGAGGGGATGTGAACATCATGGTTGTTCAAGCGGCATCCATTCTCTGTTTTCATGAGCAAGTGGAATATATCAATATGAATTCTCATGAGTTTCGTTGTAACAGTTGGGACGGAAAACGCGTTCACACTTAAATTTTTAACATCTTATGTTAAAAAAAAATGTATGAAACGAATTCGAAGTTAAAAATATATCATTTGAAAAATCAACTCCTACAAGTACTACATATTTATATTAACAATAAAAGAAAAAAGAGTATTATTAGAGATTGGTATATTTTTCGCAGCTGTGCAAGCCCTTGTACAAAAGATATTATTTCATCACACTTGCGACAGCAGCGACATCTAGTATGAGCGGTAGACCTCGAGGAACAACAGCTGATACATTCCATACTTTTCTATACTCTGCTATTCACAAAGCTCTGTTCGGTGAGAAATATCGGTAAAAATTGTAATTCTGTAATTAGTAACGAAATGTTAAAGCTGCTGGGTTCGACGCCAGCCCTGATGAGAAAGATTTGGAGCAGCCTAGCTGCTGAAATAATGATGTTGTTGTTGTAGCGGCTACTTACTTAGGGGCAGGTTAATTAACCTAAGTCGCCGAAGTCATCTAAAGAGAGGTCCAAGAAACGTGAAACGGGGCTAGATGTGTCGGCTTAAGGGGGCATGTGAAGAGGTGGTTAGTGTGGTGCGGGGCCTCCACATGCAGGGCATACGTTGGGTATATTGGGGTCGAGTTTGGATAGGTAGGAGTTTAACCAACTACAGCATCCAGACCTAAATTGTGCGAGAGTGACGCGAGCTTGAGCTGAATTGGGTTGTGCTTTATCTCCGAGCAGGTGATCCACGGGAAGGGAGTCCTTGAATGTTGAAATGATCATTTGGTGTTATTTCACTTAGTTCTGTTGTCTATGCACCTAACATGTTACTAAAACGCGTTCGTTTAAACAAAAACCGTGCACCGAGATAGCCATCCTGCTGTAGAAATCAAAAATATATAATTCCTTCCAAATATTTTCGCAGGAAAGTCTAGTACAGTCTCTTGACCTGGGTATTTAAAAAAATCCAGTTTATATTTTTTCATCCTTTTATTTTTCAATGAATTAATGTTGGTATTATATAATCCAAATTGTATGATAAAAAGTAGAAAAGCTAATATAATTGAAATACAATATGATGAAGATGAGATTTTCCAAAAGGATAAGGTTTCACTTTAACATGCAAAAATAGTTACTCGTGTAGTTATATAAAAACAATATGAGTAGCTTCTATTTAATAGTTATTTCAAAGTACTAAAAACTAACGTACGTTTATACTGGCAGTAATAAAGATATTTAGTTAATTTTTACTTGTAATTACTACGTATTAAAATTTTTATATAAGTATGTATGTATTGATTTCCCTTAATTCCTCTTTTAAGACATCGATATTTTAATGTTTGTGTATGAAGTAAAATTTTTAGCCACTAAATATACATATGTATGTAAATTTTTTTTACTGTTTTGCTGCTGATTCAACCTCATCTTGACTCTTACTCTTCAAAAATATTTCAGATGGTCCAACTTGCTGTATAGCAATAATGCGTTCCTTCTTCTCAGACTCCGGTGGTGTTGGAGATGGAACTCGCACGGTCAACGCGCCGTCTGAGGATAGAGTCGATACAATGCTGTCCTCATCATAACCTTTGGGAAGCACATATCGGCGCACAAAATGACGAGAAATATGTCCGTGCTCGTCCTCACGTTCCTCGTGCTTGCCTTCAATCACCAAGGAATCATCAACTATTTTTACAGTAAGATCCTCTGGCTTGAATAGGCCAACATCAAGATGCACTTCAAAACCACTTTTTCCACAGTGCTTAACTGAGCCACCATCAGCACTATGCTTGGCTGCAACCAAATTATGTGCATGCGGGGCCAAACGCGCAATTAAACCCAAAGTACCGAAATCCAATGGATGATGTTCACGTTCATGCAAACGGCGATAGATATGATTGGGATATAAATCGTGATTATAATATGGTGCAGAATCCAAGCTCAAAACGAATGGCGGTATATTGCGAATAGGCATATTGTTAATTTCTTTTTTTTAATAAAGTTTAGATATTTTTTGACTATTTTCAACTCTGTGCGCAACGACTATCCTTCCGTAATATAGTATTTCAATGAAAATTTTAACACAGCTATGCTAGCTATGCTGAAAAAAATTCACACAGCATTGGCTTTTATACTTGCGCGAAAACTGTTTTTGAGCTGCATACATACATACATAGCTCTCAGGTGATGAGATGATTTTCGGTGTAATAAGCATATGAGCGTTGTAAGCTCCAATCTTCGTTGAATTTATCGTAACTTTGCTGTATAGCTGTTATAGAAGCGAGTGCTCTGAGTAATTCAGCAAAAGGCAAATGGGAATGGGGTTGGAAGGTAGGGTCGTGGTTCATTTAAATCTCCCATAGACGGTTTTAGTCGTATTCGGCAAATCACTGCAACAAATTTTGATAAATTTTCCTGTACCAAGATTTGGATTAATGTTTACTAAGTTTTAAAAAAGTTTTTATCATCAAAATGAGTGATATATATGTATGCATGCAGCTGTTTTAAAAAATGGGAGTTCTCACTTAATTGTGGCCATGCGCACAGCTAAACTTGTCTGGAAATACTCAATTTCTGTGAAAATTATGTTCCCACAAGTATATACTCATATATACATTCAAATGCCGACCCAGCAATCCTTCTTAGGAACAAAATCATGTCCACCCGTATAAAAATTCAATAGAAACGTTTCATCACTATCCACTACTCAAAAGTAGTAACATTTACTCAACGAATTGAGACTTCAAACTCTTCCAAACTCTGCAATATTTTTGATAGTGCCGTAGAGAAATTCCTTGCCATCAGCAAGTTGATTGCTATTCCAAAAGTAAAGTAACATATTTGTAACAATATTGCTAATGAACCCTAGAAATCATTTATATTTCTCTGCGAGCCTTTTACTTCTTACCGCCCTGGGCTGGTATCAAAGGAATCGGTGAAAAATACTAAAGCCATAAAATTGTATATCATATTTTAATTGTTTATTTGACATGACAACCACAAATATGCTTTGTAGACTAAAATAGAAATTAAGGAACAATTCAATTATCAAGAAATTAAAATTATCAATGACAGCACCCCACGTACATACGTACAAGTACTTACATACGAGATAATGAATATTTTATGAAAATGTACAAAATTCTTAAGAATGCATAATACTAGTACTAAGAGATTGTGTGTGGAATGAACCAAATTTAAGTCTTTGAAAAGCATCCAATACCCAACAGCCATTTACTTCTGCTCTGCGTCTCCATTGGCATCACCGGTCTTCTCCTCCGTATTTTGTTTTACGTTCAAATGAGCCGGGCCCGTTTGTTGAATTTGTATAACACGCTCATTGGATTTTTCTTCTCGTGGCTTCGGAGCGCTAACTGTTAAAACACCGTCCGATGATAATGTTGAAATTACTTTATCGGAGTCATAGCCCTTTGGTAGCGTGTACCGTCGCACGAAATGACGGGAAATGTATCCATGCTCATCTTCTCGCTCTTCATGCTTGCCCTCAATAACAATGCTATTGTCCAGAACTTTTACAGCTAACTCGTTCGGCTTAAATTGGGATACATCCATACAGACTTGCAAGCCATCCTTGCCGACTGGACACAATTTCCCTTCATTTTGTTGCGCCCGCCGACTAAGCGCTCGTTCACCCAAACGATTAACTAAACCTAAGGGCAACGTATAGCCAACAGCAGCTGGCTCATGGCGATGATGATGGCGATGAATATGATGCGGATGTAAACCTAATCCGAAATCGTTGCCGTAGTGGAATGGATTATAAGTTTCACGGTCCAATTCGTCAATTAAATTCAATAGAATTGGCAAACTCGACATTTTTTCAATTTTCAGTATATACAAGAACTAATTTGTAATATATGTATGAATGTATGTATGTATTTATTCGCTTAGCTTTTGCCTTTTATTACCCGCAGGTATGAATTAAGAATTTCTCTGAAAGATACTAATGCAGATTAGTAGCTCGTTCGCCTTTTATATGCGCTGAATTCTCTTATTGAATTTGCTAGTATATTCTCGAAGAAATCGAAATCAACAAAAAATTGAAGTTCAAGAGAGTGTGCTCAATTGCTCTCGAGTGTATATGCTTGAGATTCTCAAAGAAGTGATAATATGAAGAGACAAGAGAATTTTGATAAATAATTGAAGAGAGAAACTTTTGTAGAGAATATGTTATGAATTCTCTGGCTTTAGCAACTGCCAATAGGAAAAATGGGTGCATGTTTCTACAAATAATTTGTATTTTGGCTGGTAGTTTGTTTTGTCCGTTGCACGTAAGACCAAATAATATGCCGTTTTTTATATAAAATTAATATTATTTTATTATTACTTCAACTACAAGATAATGTCCCTTTTGAAATATTCATACATATACATATATTGTTTTCTTAAAAAATATGCCTAATCATTCGAATTTAATTTTATTTCCAATAGATTTCAGAAAATAAACTGAAAAACATTTGAAATTTACGTGAGTACGTTTAATTTTTTCTATTTTTTATATTTTGATGTTTTTTTAAATTTATCAATTTTAGAAAGTTTAAAATTTATTTTTTTAATAAATGAAATATTAGGATATTTTTTTTATCGTGTTACTGATCTATGAGAGAGCGCATATTATATTTGTCGAATGGGGGATAAGAAGGGGAAATAAAAAAAATGTTTCTTTTCCATATGCTACAAATGTATGTACAGTGGCTAAAAAATGAAAATGTAAATAAAACTTGTTTCCAGAATTGAAAATCCTTATCCCCATGACATTTTGCAAATTTTATGCTTTTGTTTCGGTTAACTTCGTTTATAAATGGTTTCTTCCGTGCTACTCTTCCATTATATAATTATTTTTTTATAAGACTATTCGGATACTCTCCGGATTACAATTTATATTGAGTTCTTGCAAAACTTCTGTTGAGAGCTTGGGAGCGATATTGTTTGTTTGGTTTGTTTGAATCGTTTAATCACGTCATGCACAGTCGAGCGGGGTCTGTTCACAATTTCTGCGATTTCCCGAATGGTTTTTTCTATTTCAAATGACTTCCATACTTCAATTGAACTTTGTTTGAATTTTTCAAAAACAAAACTAATTGTGGGATTCCCTTTTTTAAACGCCAAGCAACTGTAATATTACCAGATGTCCGACTTCTTTTTTGGCGAAATTTCTAGCATGTCGCATGTTAATTTTTTGAAGCAAGGTGACCTATAAACTATTTAATTTGTTCGTTATTGGTATTTGTTAAATTTTTATTAGACATCCTATAGAAACATAAAAAACAAAAATGCTTAATATCAATTGGTTAAAAAAAGATCTAGCTTGAAGTTACATGCTAATAACAGTGGAATGTATGTCCGAGTTCTTTATTGAGCCACTGTATGTATGTAAATAGTCACCTGCAAGACATACATATATGTTTAGCAGATCTTTCTATTAATTTATTTATACCCTCACGAAAAATGTTTTCTCTTTATCTTCAAAATACGTCGAAACTGTCTCAGTGGCTTCAACATCTGTGATTGAAATTAGAAATTTTTTAGTCTCCAGCTCTTTTTCCATTTTTGGAAACGGGTAATAATAACTCGGGGGTACGATTTTTCCGAGAAGTTCAGTCCCTGGTGAACTTCTTAGTGTGGTGTGATGTTTCCCATTAAACAATTTGTGTTGCCGGCAATAAGAAAACGGAGTATATGAATACATACAGATTTATGTATATATGTATGTTTTCAAAATTTCGTAAAAATAGGTCTAGCCGTCACGTGTCGTGTTTATAACAAATACATAGATACATGTATACATATATAATTGGCGCTTTAGAACCTTTGAAGCGATTTTCGGTCGAACTCAACTAATTTGTGGTGAGCCTTGTCTTGATATTAACAACTTGAGGAACCTACAGTTTTTGCTGAGTCACCCTCGATCGGTTGTTGAATTTTTATGAGGGATCGCCATTCCCTTTCTTATTTAATTTTCTATAATTTCGACGTTGACCATCTAGCGCGCTTTGAAAGCTCGGAAGGAGTCAAGAACATAAAAGTAGTATTTTCTATTCGAAAGGTGACCAAAAATGTTTGTTGGTATTTGGTGAGTTTTTGAGCTTGATTTTTTTCTAATATTTCCTTTCCGTAAATTTTAACTATACTCGTATGTATGTATGTACATACCTATAATCTAACACAACGGATTCCATGTAACCCATAGGCGTCTTACCATAAAATAACTGAAGCTTTTTATAAAGAAAAAATAAATTTTTTTATTCGAGTGTTACTTCTTTTCAATACAAACTATGTCTTAAATTAAGAAAATTAAGCGTATTGATAGCAAAATAAGTATTAAACTAAACTCCAGGCCAGCTCGAGATGATGCATGTACGATGTTTTATGAATGATCTTTGCACGACGTATAATGAGATTACTTTTTCTTCTCTTCGGTATTGTCCTTAACATTCAAGTGTGCTGGACCAGTTTGTTGTATTTGAATATGACGTTCATTGGACTTGTCTTCTAACTGCGGCTTAGGTGCCATAACAGTCAATACTCCATCTGATGAAAGCGACGACATTACCTTGTTGGCATCATATCCCTTAGGAAGCGTGTAACGTCGAAGGAAATGACGAGAAATGTAACCGTGGTCATCCTCACGCTCCTCATGCTTCCCCTCCACGACTATGCTATTATCTACTACCTTGACAGTCAATTCGCTTGGTTTAAAATGCGCCACATCCATCGACACCTGGAAACCATCCTTACCCACTAAGGGGGAAATTGACCGTTCGGGTTTGCCCAGGGCTAACTGCCGGCTCATGGGCCAGTTATAGCTGTGATAGTATGGCGAAATGGCCGTAGTCAAACGGTCCATATCGTTAATCAAACTCAACATTGCTGGAATTGTAGCCATTGTTTTTTCCTGAACTGAAAAATTAATTTACTTTTTTTGTATGACTTCACTTAATTAGGCAAGTTTTAACTCCCGCAGAAATAGTGTTTAATTTAAATCGCTTCAATGTTTGTATGCAACTGTTGGGTACGTTCTCGTTATGCCGGTATTTATACTTATTTGGTGCGACTGAAAATTCAGCTATGTTGTCTGTGGTCAGAAACAGTTTGTTAAATGTGCTTGTGTATGTAAAAGAGGCAAATGACCGTGATTGTCGTGTAGAAAGTTCCGGTATATTCTACAGATTTCAATGCATGAGTATTAAGAGCAATATTTCTAAGAGAAAAAATGAGAAATCTAGAAACACTCAACGTTTCACTCCTTATTTAACGCGCTGAATATCTGCGAGTTCTCTCAGTTTGTTTGGAGAGACATTCTTTTGAATTCATCGCACACTTCGCATATCTGCTCTTTTGCCGGCGTAGCGGAATGAAAATATTTACTACGGTAAAATATCTATGGGAAATTGTATAAAATAATAAGCTTTCAAGCTCTTGAGTAATAATCTTCCGATTTATCATATGATATTGTTTTTTACACCTTTGAGACATTTTGAAAAGTATTTCAAGAAAATTGCTAGATTATTCCAGACAGGAGAGAGAAATATTAAACTTTAAAGAGAATTTTATCTCCCCTTATTATTTGAAATACCTATGCATGTGAAGGTGCTGCCAGACACAGTAAAATTTCGAAATGTACAAAACTTGAATAGCTTAGAACTTTGATCGAAACTTTTCAGAAGTTACATACATGAGAAGTTTCAAAATAATTTATCAGAAATCTTGTCTGACAACACTCAAATTTTTCACACTTTCCCATAAGAACTTTTTAAATCCAATGGACTTAGGTTCTGGCACTACTCGATATGAAGGTTATAGCCTATTTCCACCAAGCACCTAAATGCATTTAAGGCCTCTGTTAAGTGAATAAAATGTCATACGTTTTCACCGAAAGTGAGTTAACTCAAACAGCTGATTTTTGCTTACATTTGCAGTTTGCAAAATTTCTAACAAATATTGAAATCATGAGTTCAAGAAACCGCATGCATTTCATTTGGCTAATTATGCAATCTTATGATTTGCAAGTGCAGATTACTTCTGCACGGTCAATCGTCGCTGAAACGAAAATGCTTTTATACATGTTTCCATTTTCACATTTGCTTGCTTGTCCCCTCAAATTATTTATTTTGCGAAATCAGCTGATAGCTGCCACAGCCACCCATATTTTTAAATTGAGGGGATCGTTTAAAATTCCACAATTACTTTATGTTTATTTCTTATTGTATTTTTTGAAAGAGGAGGAAGCATTATCTTCGCCGATTACTTAATATATACGTTCATGTTAAAACTAATGCAAAGAAATAACTTTTGCAGACAAAATTTCACCATGCAAAATAAAAGTCTCACCCCTCATTAAATACGAAAATACACGACTCTGGTAAGAAATATTCCGAAACTTCCGAAATGATTACTTTAGTAGTGACAGCAACGACTGTTAACATAACATTTTCTGCTTAATTACTGAAAGTGACTTAACCCTCTTTTATACAACAACAAACGCATGGGAATTACCGGTGGAAATAGGCTATTAAAATGAAACTTCTTTCTATTCCGCCTTGGACCAGGCTTGTTATTAAAGAATAGAAGATTGATTTCTTTATGAATTACTCATTTTCAGAATACACCGATGCAAAAGAAAAGTATATGTATGTGTGTGTATGAGAATATTTTTATCAAACTGAATGACTTAATTTGAATTTTCATATCTACATATTACATAATTACATGTGAGTATGTAAATGCTAGTAAATTTCCTTACGTATTTATTTATTTATATTTACTACAATATATACATATGGACGTACATATGTATGTATGTATTTCATAAGTATCACAACTATGCTTTCAATTACACCACTAGTGTACTTTCAACCGTTTAATAGCAAAATTGTAAACAGTGATTTTCGCAACAATTCAACATCGAGAATCATCTGTTTCTGCCTACAATTTTTTTTCATCAAAGTTGTTTATACAATTAGTTCTCGGACCTTCACGAATTTTCTCCGCTCATTCACTTAATCTGGGAGAGAGATAGAGAGGGAATACTCGCGCATGCTTCTGAGAATGTAGTGGGCAATCAATTTATTCTCCGCTCGCTGCCGCACTGGCAGAAAAGTATAAAAGCAAAGGAATCTTCGGTGCAACTCCAGTGAAAATTTAAAAAGTTGTTCGAAACTTAAAGCGGTCTTGAATATTCAAGGAAAACGAAGTTTTTAAATTACATATATCATTTTATAAAAAACTCGCGAATTTTGAGTAAAAATGCGTTCACTTCCAACATTGTGGCGTATGGCTGAAGAAATGCAACGGTTGGCCTTCCCACGCCGATCCCCATTCAGTGCATTTTACGATGACTTCTTCAACGCTCCTTTCACTCAAGCACCATGGAGCCGCTTTAGCCGATTGCCAAAAGAACTGGGGGACACCATTGAGCCCATGGTGGGCAAGGATGGCTACCAAGTATCATTGGATGTGGCACAATTCAAACCAAGTGAATTAACCGTTAAAGTCGTTGATAACAACGTGGTCGTGGAGGGCAAATACGAAGGACGTGAAGACGAGCATGGCTTTATTTCGAAACATTTTGTTCGCAGCTTTAGTCTACCGCGTGGTTATAAAGCCGAAGAGGCCATGTCAACACTCTCCTCAGATGGCATACTGACGGTAAATGTTCCAAAACCACCAGGTTTGGAGGATAAATCGGCAGAGCGTGTAATTCCTATTCAACAGACCGGTCCAGCTCATTTGAATATAAAGGAAAATAAACCACTGGCGAACAAGGAAGTTGAGGAGAACAATAACAAATAATGAAATTTTGTTTTATTCGTTAAGACTCTCACAAAGCAAGTGTGTAGTAAATTGTGTAGACTGTTATTAGTTATTTAATAAAACATAAGACTGTAGTTTACAGAAAAGTTGAATTTTTAATTTCACTGTTATATTGGTGATCGCAATAGACTGGTGGTAAGCATTGCGCACTGTTCTTCTGAATTCCAGGACTCAAGTCCTGATTGGACCGATATCCGAGTGGTCGTCCCGAGGGTATTTCTGACATAAAGTAAAAGCTCCTCATAAAAAACCATAGGCCGTTCGGAGGCGGCTTAGAATAAAATATAGGTCCCTTCATTTTTAGAAAAACATCAAGGCGCATCCATAACTTGGAGGAGGAGCTCGGCCGAGAATCGCCTCAGCGATTATAAAACGCCAATTATATATATATGATTTGTTGACCTAAAAGAGGTTAGGTTGCAGAAAGGGTGACAGCCCTTGGCCGGATAAAATTTGGGTCAACTCTTCACTGCCCGACAATTATAGCTAGAACCTTTGATATCCTCAACCACTCTTTTCACCAGCTCCAACTTGATGTGAAAGTCGATGGCGTCAAAATTCCCACAGTTAACAACCCGAAGTTACAGTTGGACAATCTGCAACACCTGGGAGAAAGACAAAGAAACTACGCTACTCCGATTTAGACGCCGGAGACAGACGAGACGCAGTTGAAGATTCTACCAGCTTGCCAGAAAACCGCTCTTAGGACCGTGTCAGGAAACCTGCTATGCTGTGCAAGCAATATCCATTTTAGATGATACCGTAGGGAGCACCCCAACAGACCTCTATTTGAGCGACCGCCTAGGCACTTCAGGGAAAGAGCCGTCGAAAACAACTCCTGCAGAGGGCGGCGTTCCTCAAGGCTTTGGGCGTTCTATTCCACCATCCATTGCCGATACCTACAGTTAGAATCCAACATGGTATTTATTTTTGTATGCCCTTAAAACCTACTCATCTAACCCCTCTTTTCCTCTGGTTCGAATCTATCGAATCAGGTCGTTTCGTGGACCACTTGTTAACTTAGACTAATCTTGCCTGCTCTTAAACGGTCTTGGACAGCCGCTACAACAAAACAATAACAACCTTTACGATCCTTCGGGTATCGTAAGGACTTGAATCATTCGGAGTGACAATTGAAAGAGATTTTTGATCTCAACGAAACCTTGCTTACTTAATTTACTTCCGCATCAATGACAGCTAAAAAGAAAATTACCAGCATATGCATGAGTGCACAAACATGTATACATACCTTTATACACGACATGAACGTAGGAAATTAAAAATAAATATATTTTCAAAAATACTCGTTGTATTTGAATTTGGGGGGAAAAAAATTTCAAAAATTGTTTGACCTTGACTTTTGCAATTTTCTACGATGCCACTAAACGCGTGCGCTGCCATACATACATACATATGTACATACGAGTAAATGTACATATACATATAATTTTATACCCGTAACTGTGAAAAAAGTGGATATTGAGCAGGCAACCCCATAAGAAACTCTTCCGGTGACTTGCATTTAAAAAGCAAGTACAGATTCAGATTCAAAAATTGGTTGAAAATAAAAACTTGGCGTTTTTTATGGGATCACCTCTGTTTAAGTTCCAATTAATTAATCGAGTTTAATGAGCGTAGGCTTCAGAGGCCTTCAATTTTCATTCAGGGTAGCACATACATACGTACATACTTACATACAAACAGATATATACATATGTAGATATGTACCTTTTACGATAATTTCACTTGCAGTTTGAAATAAAAGAACAACAACACAACGGTAGGTAAGAGAATAAAAATGAATGTGGTAGATGATTAATTTATTTCACGTTTGTACTTAATAAGATCTTAAAATAGCTTTCGAATCAATTCAAATAATTTTGCACTTTTTTGGCACCTGCCAGCATATCCCTCAACAACAAAAACATTGCTTAGTCATAAATAGAACTTTGAGAACTACTTCTTTTTCGTATTTGATCATTTCCAGGGCAATGCCAATTTGCCCGTCTCATGAATCCGCACTAAACGTTCATTTGGAGTGTAGTATTTCGTCGGTGGTGGCGGAGGAGCTTTAATGGTCAATATACCATCCGAGGAGAGATTAGAGATGACATCGTTGGCATTGAAACCGCGTGGCAGTAAATACTTTCGTATAAAGTGGCGTTCCACCAGACCATTACCGTCGTTTCGCTTCTCATGATTTCCTTGTACAATCACGTAATCATCGTTGGTCTTCACCACAATTTCATGAGGCTTAAATTGCCGCACATCAATGTCAACTTGAAATCCTTTCTCGTCCACATGTACTCGTTCGCCAGCATAGTAATTATCCCAACGCATTGGATAACGCCAATCCAGTAAAGATGATTGGATCAATTGGTTACGCACTCGACGCGTTACCAGGTCATCCAACGGGCGTAGGAGACGCTCGGTGCTGGGCCAACACAACCTCGAGTCATCCCACAGATAAGGATATAGATGAAAATCGTAGGGGGGGTAGTAACGTGGACGATCAAGTTCACGCGAAAAATTGTCGTAAGTCGTTGGCACAAGTGCCATTCTTCACTTGATAATCTTTATTGATTTAAATTGGATTTGGCTCTGAGAATATAACTTTGTTAGACCTTCGCGACTATTAATTTTATGAAAATTTTGTTAGTGAATTTTTGTCTTTTATACTTATAGCGAGGCATCGGATTCGCTGCACTTGCATCGACGTCATCATACGACAGCGGCTGGCGTCGAAAGCGTCTGTCGGAAATACGGCTCATATTATTATTTTTTCTACATATAAAATATTGAGTACATTAAGTTTTAAATAAAGGAAAAAACATTTGCTGGCTTAATTAAAATTTCTTTGGATTTATGGAGTAGGGCAAATCTTGAGATTCAGCATGAAATACTCAGCTCTATTCAAGAAATTAAAGGCTCTTCTTATCTTCCTAAATCTTTCCTTTTATTTTAGCTCTGTTCGGTGAGAAATATCAATAGGAATTGGCCAGTAACGAAATGTCAAAATTTGTGACAACTATTACTGCCCATTTGGCAACCCAAGTGCCCACTGTGAATGCTCACATTTTTCGACTGGCACTAGATTAAAATTGCGTCTGTGCCTCTAAATGCAAATTGTATTGTTCGTATGTCTATGTTGTAACAAGAATGAATGAATCACGTTCAAGAGCTAAACGTAATTTAAAGGCATTTTGCCATCAAACGAGAAATTGAAAGTAAAAGGGATAACAAATAAGTAAATATTATACACCGAAGAACGTCGTTTACTGTGAGAGTAAAATGCAAATAAATGTTTGGATGAGTATGAATATATTGTATATATGTACGTACATAACAAATCGCATCTATGCGTGGCAATTGAAAAACATTTATTTGTATTGTTTTTTGAGATTACGTTTATTTTATTGTGTATCCAGTACGACAGAGTATAGCGTACATTGTAGATAGTAATTTTCATCATTATCACCACAGTCATTATTAGCAATGTCACCTGTTGTGTTTTTATAAGTATTTTCTTTATGTCTCGTAATTTTCTTTTACATTTATTTCTCAATATATGCATTTGTTTCATGTCAATATTTGAATTTCTCTCTCCATCTTCCGATTTCGCTGCTCTCAGTGTCCTCTTTTATTATTTCTGTTTACATATAATATATATTTTTAGTAGCATTTAGATTTTCGTGTTTTATTTCTTATTAGATTTTATTTATTGCTAATGGAGCTGTGTTCCTTACTACACTGGGAGGGGTAAAATATAAAAATAGCAACACATGACCGATGTGCTTTTATATCAGTTTGTTAATAATTTTACGTAACTCTCAAATGGCAAGTACTCTTGTAACAGTACAATCAAACAAAATGCAAATATACCACAAAATTCATCGTAAACAATAGGTTGAATGACACAAGTAAGAAAACTGAATCAAAACGAAAAAATTAAATCAAAGAAAATGAAATAAAAACGACGAATCTAAAGAAATCACATTTAACTAAAGTACAAAGCTAACGAAAAATTGAACGGAACTGAATTTCTAATGGCAATATACTGAAAAATATGTAACTAGTTATATTTTATTATATATAGTATCGGTTGCAGGCGTAGGGTTTTCAATGACTAACTAATAGATTGCATTAAGTATTTGTTATGAACGTCTGATGCGCTTTTAAGTGACTTTTCTTTCCATTTTGTGGTTTTATGAAACTAATATATGTATGTAAGTACGTGTACGAATGAATTAATGTTAATATGTATGTAGGAAATGGCTATATGCCTTTTTGAGAATCCTACTCAATTTCTATTTGTATTTTTTATATCACTTTCTTCGACTTCACCTTCTGCTTCATCTGTGTTTACTTTTTACTTTTCGCCTTTATCTGCTACTACAATAGTTAAGTACTTAAAATGTAAACGCAATTTCTTTTATTTATATATATATATATATATATATGTATACATGTATATGCATATACATACATATGAATATATGCATGTACGAGTATACATATTATATGTTATGCCAAATTGAATGTTTATGCTGCTAAATTTCTTGCTCTCCTTCAAGTTATTTTTCTGCTCATGCTCAAATCGTTCGTGCTCCTCAAACTACACCTATACTTAGTTAGTTATCTCTTCGGTGGTTATAGCAGGTTTGCCGGCTGCTACATCAGCTGCACCACTGTCACGTTGAGTTTTGGCCAAAAGTATGGCTGCATCAGCTGCTGCCACCAAATCAGCTGCAGTGGGCGATTGTGCAGCTACCACTGAATTATCAGCGGATCCATTCTCTTCATTGCCATCTTCAACGATTGCGCTACCACCATCACCGGCAATAACATTTACATCTACTCCAACACCGATATCAATGCCTATAGCGATGACACCACCGTCTATGCCATCCCCGTCAGTTTCCATGTCTGTTACATCCGTTTCCATTTCTGTTATACCGTCAGCTTCACTTACTGCTGTCTCTAAGGTGATCGTCAGGCCATCATCGGTGACGGTAACGGCTTTATCATCGGACACACCATTTTTGGTAACCACGAGAATATCACTAGGCTCAGCAGTAGTTGAGGTCGTCAACTCGATATTAATATTATTGGTTGGTGTAATTTCAATGCCGTTGCTCTCAACTTGGGCACTTGGGGTCTCGCTGCGGGGAACGGCAATGTCCCTGGAAGCTTTGCTGTTGTCAGATGTTGTTGACGAGTTAGTGACAGAGTTTATGTTGCTTGAAGTTGTTGTATCAACGTCTGGGTCGGCCATGTGTACGTCAACCACTACAGGTTTATTTTCAATAACCTCCTCCTTGGTGGCTATCTGCTCATTCTCTTCCGTTTCCATTGGGTCTTCGGCAGTTATTGCAGTTATGATGGTATCGATTGCCAAAGATTTTGTTTCATTAGAAGAGACTGGTTTCTTGCTGTTAACATTATCCACCCCATCCTTTTGCTCTTCATTTTCAGCTAAGCACTCCTTCTCTTGCACTTCCGTTTTCGAATTGGCGTTGGTAGTTGCAGTCATGTCTGTGTAGTCAACACCACAGTCTATGTTAATGACTTCTCTGTTAGTATTGTTATTATTATTGTTGTTGTTGTTGTTATTGTTAGCATTGGAAGACGTGGCTGCCTGCTCAGCTGTTCGTGGTTCAGTCTCTTGCTCTATGACCAGCTCTTTCGGCTCGAGATTGCCGTTGGGTTCGCGCGTTACCTGCAAGTCTTTTACTGTTACTGGTTGTGCAACCTTTGACAACTGCTGTTGCTGCACGGCTTCGACTGCTGCGCATAACTGTTGAGATTCTTGGGATTGGTTTTTCTGCTGCTGCGGTTGTTGTTGTAGTGTTGATGTTTGTAGTGGAGCTGTAGCCAGGGTGGCTGGTGCTGTTACTGCTGTTACTGCTGTGACTGCTGCTAATGTTACAGTTTGTTCAACTGCTGCGGAAGCTGCATTCCCATGTACTTCCTTAACACTGCCTTGACTATTGTTTGACGGCCCTTTAACAGGGCTCTGATGAGCATGTACCGGCCCGCTGGTATGTTGTATATCAACAATACGTTCCATGGATTCATCAGTCTTTATAGCTGGCGGTGGTGCCTTAACTGTTAAAATTCCATCCGAGGACAATGTTGAAAGCACTTCGTTCGGGTCATATCCCTTCGGCAGCATATACTTTCGGATGAAGTGTCGTGAAATGACGCCATGCCCATCTTCCTTATCTTCGTGCTGACCCTCGACGACGATACAATTATCGATTGTCTTGACGGTCAGTTCATTTGGAGCAAATTGCTTCACATTCATGCTAACCTGAAAGCCATTCTTATTCACCACCGAATATGCGGATTTCCCAGCTGCCGTATTGGGTGAAGCATTAGATGAACCTGAATTGGTGGCATGAATATTAGCCGCCGACTCTTTGTCACCAGCAGCGCCTGCACCGGCGGTGGGACTGTTACCAACAACGCCACCACCACTACCCCCGCCAGCAGTGGAGGCCGAATCTTTTTCCAAGTGATGGTCGTGTACCAAATGAATGGGAGTTTTGTTGCAACATGGTTTTCCACGATAGTAGGGATGGTGACGACTTTTACTTATATTTGGCATCCAATAGAATTGCGAGAGGGAGCGTGGGCGTCGTTGCTGCGACAAATGTGGCTGCTGCTGTTGTTGCTGCTGCAGTGGATGTTGCGATTGCTGTTGTTGGTGCTGTTGTGGCTGCAATTCATGCGGATAGATACCGAAGCCGAAGTCGTCGATATCCATGCTGCCGGTGGCCAGACAACGATTAAATTCATGCAATTCATCGGCCAATTCGAGTATGAAGGGTATGAGGGACATCGTTTAGTTGTATCTATACGTATATCGAAATATATATATTTATAATTTTTAGGAGCACACGCACACACGTACACCTATACGCACGCCAGACACGCGTTGATGAGTTCACGACACGTTTCAAAAGGCAGCGTTTTTTTCACGGGAATCTTTTTCTGACGATTTACGCGTTAAATTATATTTTTTTCTTACGGTGTGTGACGTTTTTACTGTGAATTTAGCACATCAATTTCTGCAGTCTGCCTATGCAGATTGGTTGGTGTAGAAGAATTACCGTTCGAATGCAACCGATGCGCTGCCGAAACACGCCCGATTTGCTTCCTAACTGGTTTTCATATGAGTGCAAATTGCTGAATGCTGCCCTTTTAAACCAGTTTGCAGCGCTGAATGGAAAGCTTATAGCAAATTCGATTGGAAGTCCAAGTTCAAGCATATGATCGGGGTGTGCCAGGAAAATAACCGGCCGAAAAGCCAGCCAATTTGCGGACTTGCCGACATGCCGGCAACCGACTGTGATGGCATTGTTGTGCGTATCCACAGCACGCTTTTGTCATGTCTGCGATGCAATGTGGCGACTGCACTTTCCGTTTTAGCGAATGTGAAAAAATTTAAATAAGATATTGCGTTAATGGTGCGGTAAGGGCTTTGTAGCCCAAGCTATGTGCTGGCTAAGTTTGGACTTGATTTTTATTTTCATTTATTTCCCTTTATGCCTATAACATTTCAGCGCCCATAGACACATACATACAAATGGGCATACGTGAATATATTAGTTATAATATGGTTATTTGCTTATTTAAATATGTGCATTTAGATGTATGTATGCATATGCTTAAAATGCCTGCCAGTCTGGTTACTAATACTAAAGCAAAGTGCGGGACATTTTATCTCGAAGTGGGCCAAATGGAAAACACTCCAGTGTTTTTAATTAAATGCAAGCAAGATTCTCCATCAAACACTGAACTAAATTTATGTTTCTGCGCCTAGAAATAGGCAACGAGGAATTATCGGTGATAATAAAAATAAGGTCTTGGGAAACTCTTAAATAAAAGAGGTTTGGTCATGGCCTTGAACTCAGTCCAGACGAACATCTCTGAAGTTGTAGAAAGATATTTCTACCATTTGAGCTCACTAAAAGTTTAAAATAGTAACCTGGTTAACACTTCCTGTCAAGGGTCGACCGGAATCAGGAAAAGCAACTTATTTTTTCAATTATATTAAGCATTTAATTAATTTTATCTAAGTTTTGGACTTGTACCCTGGCCTTCCGAAGGAAATAAATATTTCTGCCACACACACACTCATGTTTTGAATTTGGAAAGCTATTTTTTTGTCGCTAACAAACTAATTTTTTTCTAAAACTCTTGGCAACTTCGCCAAAGTTGGCCGCAAAGAGAGATGTTTTAATAAATACTTACATATCTTTACACAGCCATATGTATGTAAATGTCTGTTTGTGTTTATATGTATATGTATGTATATTGAATATTTTCTAATGGATATCTAAAAACATACTTATCTGGCATTAAATAATTCATATCCAAAATATATAAAATCATTAGATAATGGCCATATGTTCATATGCTCTACATACAAACACGTGCACGTATGTACATACATACACATGTGCAAAAAATGAGAAGCGCAGCTACATACGTGACGTTACCGGCGTTTTCGGCTTTGCTTGCCGACAGTCAGTTTTGAATTGTTTTTATCATATTATTTATAAACAAACTTGTTTTTTCTTCATACAATATGTTAAAAGCTTTTTGCCATAAACAAGTTCTATTTTTGGGCTTATAAGTAGTCAAACATGCGTCTTATCAACAAAATATTCTCTCATTCGCTATTCTACGGAACATATTGTATGTATGTATGTATGTATGTATGTATGTGGGTGTGTGTTCATATCGCAATCTAAATGGATTGTTTATATTATTTTGCAAATTTTAGACAGCTCACTGTTCTCGTTATAAAAGATTGTGATTAATAAAATTACTTAAACTAATACCTACATATTTACATATACATATGTATGTATGTATGTACATACATGTGTGTTTCGAGTATTACATACATATGTATACATATAATGCCTACAAAGCTCTACATTAACTATTACTTATATGTATAGATATATGTATGTACATATATATATATATACATATGTATGTACACAATTGTTTCCAAGTGTGTATTCACGTATTTGCGAATTTGCACATCAATGTATCTAGCGATATACTCGTACTCGCATGTGCATACAGCAAACATATGCTTCAGCATATCGCTGAAACGCTGGAACTTTACGCGAAACTTCCACCAAATTCATTCGCCAACAGCTGAGAGCAAAGTATCTACAATAATCGCTCAGCTGTTGTAGTGTTGCTGTTATCGTGTTCGTTGTAAGCAAACCGGTCGTTATACCAGCAAAACGAGACACAGCAACGATTTGCCGGCACGAACAGTAGTAAAAGCAACAAAAAACAGCTGGTTGCCCGGCTCGTCGCTAAACGGGGGCTGAGCGAGAAGGGGAGGAGCACCTCGCTTGGTGCAGCGTATAATTTTCGCAGGCTTCAACGCGTTTGAGGCTGGAATATTATGTACATGATTGTGAACTATATATGTATGTGTGTACATATGAATCTATTTACATATCTATCTATATATGTATGTATATGGACATGAATGTATGATCTGTACCTTTGGCTAATATGACCTGTCCTAGGCTTTGCATGAGTTTTATATATTGTATTTAACGTCTTACTGCGTATATATGTACATACATACATATGTAAGTATTTTTTTACTTGTTGTGAAGACATATGTAGATATTTATATACATACATACATACATAATTACTTTCTGACATGTCTACGTTTTCTGGAATTGCGTAGACCAGCTGAAAGAACTGCTGTATCAACCAAGAGCGGCGCAGCGTGGCTTACAGCGAGTCGTCAGCTGAGAAGGTACGCATAGCCTGGAATATTAGGAGCATTCAGCTGATGGCTGCAAATCCCCGTGACTACTTTTACATTAACATTCACCTAAACTCTGCTATGTGTATTTTAGTACCTCTGAAGCCGGTGTTTAGGTGTAGGTGTTTGCTAAAATTCATTTTGTTGTGGTTTTCAAGCGATTGCCCAACGTTGAAGCGACAATTTCATTCAATCTACGTTCCAAACGAACGCCTCGGAAGACGTGACGCTTAGTTGGAAGTCTTGCAAAGAGTTTACTTTTTAACTGTATACCAGTAGCAATAAATCCAAAGACACAAACATGTACATATGTATGTATGTATGTATGTATATGCAAGTATGCATAAGTATATGTACATACTAAGGTACAGATGCTTTAAAGCTATTTTAAAACTGGAAATCTGCACACAGAGGAGAAATTCGCTGCAAAAGAATAGCAATCCAAACCTTTCTGCGTTGATGGTACTTATAGATTCGCAAGTACATACTCGTACATACTTATGTACATATGCAAGTACAAACAAGCAGTGCAGTGATTTTCCTACAAACCCATGTTTTTACTGATTTCACATTTAATTATAATTATTATAATATAAAATATTATTACTGAAGCTCAAAGAGTCAAAAAGGTAACTAACTAATGATAATGCTATATGTACATATATGCATACATTTGTATAAATGTATGTATAATATGATATACTTTACAGCTTTATAACAGCTGAAGCTGTTTTCGGCCGAATTCACCCTCCAAATTAGCGCTGAGCGTACATATATATTATATATGTATGTAAAGCTCTTTATATCTTTTTATAGTCGGAAGTATGTCTCTGTCAAAGACAATACTGCTGTTTTTATGCCGTCTCAATATGACGGTGAATTTTTGTAGAACTCGTTAGAAAACGACGAAACGGCAAAAGAAGACCAAAAATAGTTCCGAAGCTCTGGTTGCTTAAATTTGTCATTACCAGTACTGTAATGTTTATATCACGAAAAACAGAAGAATTTGAGAAAATCAATATTGGGTTTTTAAAGTAATCGACGGAAAAATCTTCATTTATCTAAATATCTTTTCTGGGTCAATAACGCAATAAGTAATCGAGTTATAAAAACTCTTTATTCTTGCTTTTCTTTCGCTTTTCCATCAGAAACCACAGAACAGATCTGGTATTTGAAATGATTCCTAGTAACGTAAATGTGTGTGCACACACATACATAGATACCATTGAATGAAAACAATTAATTATTTTTATATTACATTTTATGGGATGGAAAACATTACTCATATCTCCCATAATAAAATAAAACCTTCACACCTTATATTTATTTCTGCAGCTGCGAGTATGTTCAAGTAACTTCTTCGTCCATTGACAACATTTATTGCGCAAACGCAGAACAATGGTGTGTATCGCAAACAAATATGCTATGTCAAGTATTTTTCCACTCGACAATCAACGGACGACAACGTACTCGATGGACATCCACACTCAAAGAGGGTGAATTGTGAATTGACAGATTCTATGTGCGCAGTGAATTTTCTCGGAGATTCCCGTAGGTTAGTGCTGTTTCGCTACTCTTTTGGCAATACGTGTACATATGTATGTGTTTGCATGTATGCATGGATGTGCCAGGTAGCTGAGTATAGCGAATTCTTATCAACGTGGTTAGTTCTCGAACAGTGCTCTTGGCAAAATATCTACACATGAGAAATTTGGAAATGCATAAAAGCGGAAGAGTTCTCTGTTTGAGGCATCAGTTGAATTTCAGTATCACAGAGAAACGCGTTGAGAAAGCGCTAATCAAAGTAAAACAAAAATTTTTAAAGTTGTAAAATTGTTTGTATTTGAAATAAAACGCAGACAACAGTAAAAATGGCAAACCTACCATTGATCTTGAGCTTGGCTGACGATTTGGGTCGTCTAACTCCATTCTACGAACCGGTGTTTTACTCACGGTGGCCGACATTGGCTGGCGCTCCTGGTAATCAGCTGCGTAAATTGGAAAAGGATTTGCCGCTTGCCACCTTAGGAAAGGATGGTTTCCAAGCCAGTTTGGATGTGCAGCAATTTAAGCCAAGTGAATTAAGTGTTAAGGTAGTCGATGACCATGTCATTGTAGAGGGCAAACACGAGGAGCGTGAGGATGATCATGGCTACATTTCGCGTCATTTCGTTCGCCGCTATGCAGTGCCAAAAGGTTTTCAAGCAGACAGAGTAGAGTCCACATTGTCATCGGATGGCGTATTGACTGTGCGCATACCAAAACCCGCCATCGAAGATAAGTCAAATGAGCGTGTTATCCAAATCCAACAGACGGGTCCCGCGCACTTGAATGTAAAGGAAAACCCTAAGGAGAATGCGAGCACAGGAGAGCCAGAAGCTTAAACAGCCTTGAACAAAGCTGAAAGTAGTTCTCAGGGACAACTCTTTTATGCCTCATAACTTCATTCATTACGAAATTTGTTTGTTAAGTTTTTTCAACTAGTATTCAGCATTTGTCTGTCCATTTGACTACTGCCAAAAATGTGTATTACATAATAGTATTTAAATAAATCCCTGCAATTTTTAAAAAGTTAAACAATCTTTTCTTTTTTAATAAAGTCCATAAAGACGAGGGAGCAAAGGCGGGAGGGAGTATCGCTGAAGTCGTAGATAATCTTGGCAAATATCAACACCATAAACAAAGTCAGAAAAGAAAGCCACTGCAGAGTCTGTTGCTGTTTTGAATTGAGCAGGCGACTGAAAAGTCAAGCCCGCTCTCGAAAAACATAAAATTTCTGTCAGTCGCTCATCATTTCCGTCATGTCACTTATATGGTGATGAGTTAACAATTTTTGCAAATTTTTAATGGAGCGCGTTTGGTGAGGTAAAAAGCCAGTGGAACAGCTGATTTGTGATCATATGATTGAATTTTTGTCAACAAACCAAAATTTATTAAAAATTTAAGTAATATCAAATAAACAATATGATTTTGTTAAAATAAATTTAAATAGTTAAGGAACTCGTTAAAAGAGAATGTGGTGGCTATGGAGTGGAATTATCGCCGCACAACACCCAGCATACGTTGAGAAATTAGAAGTTAGAAATTTTGAAGGCATAGAATTAGAATATATGTATGTTCAGTTAATATTGTCGGCTTACACGGAAAAATAATTCCAAACTCATTGTCGTATTTCAATTCCATCGTATTAAAATTCTTGCATAGCAAGTTTTACATAAATCTTCGTCCTTTTAGAGAACTAGAAAAGACAGGTTGGCAACTTAATCGTTGGACGGCTGTAAAGCATGTGGAATTTCATCATTGTTGAAATACAATAAATATTGAATACATTTAATATATGTATTTAAAATGCTGTATGTATATGTAATTGGCAATTTTATTAAAATACTTAAAAACAGAAAAAAACTGTATATTGAACGGATCCAAATTTAACCGCCAAAAAAAGCTGTTATACAACTTGCAGGCTAATTTTAACTGACATTTCTAAACGAACACAGCTAATGAAGTAGTTATACAAGCATCAACGCCGTCAAACCCTAAAGATCTATTTCCTCTTGTAGTTTTTTGAAAGATCGAAGATTTATGTAAAATTTCTTTGCAACATTTTATCGACTTGATTTTCGGGAAGGATGATTGAAACACGAAAATGTGTTTGGAGGTCTTATTGTCGGCTAATATGGAAAGTTAGCTGAACATTATAAAACTTCTTGGAGTGGTTTTGAATAAAATCTAAATAAGTACAGTCAACTGGAGCTTTATCTTTCCTAAGATTTAATTTTTTCGACTGTAGTCTTTTTCGAAAGCTTAAGAAAGCATTAAACACTGTTTCCGAGTAAATTAATGGAAGCCAGCTTGTGTTGTATTGTACAAAAAATAAGAGTATTGCAACCAAATGCCCATACTCGGTATGGACGTGTACCAAAGTTCGTCTAAAAATCTCCTCTTCTTTCAAGTTATATATTGCACGGACTCTTCTACTCTTACTCCTATTCTAAGAGTTGTGGAAACTGTATCTGCTATTAATATGTGACCCAAGCAAGTTTAGTATAAATCTTTTTTTTTAATTCTGGAGGGTATGAAGTATATCTTCCTTAAGCAACCGTTTATTTTATGAGTAGGCAAATTTAACATAAACATACTTTTTTAGAATCTGAATTCATTTTCAAATATAATATTTCATTCGAATGAAACTCGATGAGCAGCGGATGTATGGAAAGTGTGATAAAAAATTAACTTCAACCAGCGAAGACCGTTAACCGAACGCAACTCATAACAAAGGACTTTGTTTTGAAACTACCTTTATTATATAAACAGAAACGCTGAAATAATTTGTCGACATTTTTATTTTTTTTATTTTTATTTTTTTTATTTGGATAAAGTCATTGCAATAAAAGCTTAACTTACAAGCAGACTTTTCTTCTCTTATAAACAATGGAACAACTTAAAACAGATCAAATGAATTATTTATATTACGTTTAGAATGAAGTAAGGACAATTAGTCTGCAGAACACCATTTTTATGCCTTTGGTTTCTCTTCATTAGCAGCATCTTTAGGATTCTCCTTCACGTTCAAGTGTGCTGGGCCCGTTTGTTGGATTTGGACCACTCTTTCATTTGACTTATCCTCGATGGCTGGTTTTGGTACACTAACTGTGAGAACACCATCCGATGACAGAGTGGAAACTACTTTATCAGCTTCAAATCCTTTGGGCAGTGCGTAGCGACGAACAAAGTGTCGTGAAATATAACCATGATCATCTTCACGCTCCTCGTGCTTGCCCTCAACTACTATATGATCGTCGACTACTCTCACACTGAGCTCACTGGGCTTGAACTGCTGTACATCCATACTGGCTTGGAAGCCATCCTTACCAACCGAGGCTATGGGGAAATCTTTCTCGAATTTCCTCAGACGTCCGCTGGGTGTGGTTGTTATGGCGGGCCAACGAGTGTAGAACACTGGTTCGTATAATGGTGACAGGCGGCTCAAGTCATCTGCCAAGCTCAAGATCAACGGTAGGTTTGCCATTTTGAACTTTTTATTAAATTCTTTTTCAGTTGTCTTCGAATATACAAATAGATAATACTGCTTTCACTTTCAAAGAGTATTCGCTTGCGATAAAGATAGCTCTTGACTATGTAAATATGTGTTTGAGTTTGTGCTTGCGCTTGTTTAACGCTTTTTACTTTGTTGCAATTTCAAATTCGACTATGCCGCTCTTCGCGAGTGCCGGCCTTTTTATACTCGCAGCTGCGGGAGCGACCCTTACGACATACTGAGAGACTAAGCAAACAATAACGCAAATGAGTTGACGCCACTCTGCTTACGGATGTACATATGTATGCATGTATGTGTCCCCATAAACATTCATAGTTAGGAACGCTGTGTATTTAATGCCAAATATTTTAACAAAAGGTTTGTTGGTAAAATTGATTGTATGGCTTCCAGAAATTGCATGAAGTTTCTCGTTCCCTGTTAGTGTTTGAATTTACATATGTACATATGTACGTGAATATATGCTTGTTTAACCTCTAATATAAATAAGATTTTTTATTAATGGTGTAGTCCTATGAACAGGCACAGTAAGTACATACACATACATATACATGAGTTTTTTTTTTTTAAATGAGTGAAACGTCCAAATAAATATGAAAATACAATATGTGTGTCAGTACATACAAACATACACGCAATGGCCATAATAGTTCAAAATTTACTTCGGGCGGTGACAACCTTTCTTTCCCTCTTCTAGAAAATTCCGTCTGATAAGTGTTTAAGGAATTTTCGAAAATCAAACTAATTTATTTTATCAACACTTTTTGGTGCTTTAACACATTCAATGGGGCGGGCAGCAAACTTTCCTTGTGGACTGCATGGGTTCATGAGAACCGGCAATAGAATTTTCGTTTTACTGGCGTTGGTCCGTGATACCTTTAGTGCAGAAGTAAAAAAAAATAAACTGGTCTCAATGAAATGTGGTCAAATATGATTTTAATGAAATTTATTGAAACATTCTATACTAAAATGCGGCTTATCTTTACACATATTACAATGCGTAATAACTTCTTTGGTATTATTTGTGGCTGTCTTTCTTCCAAATAGACAAAGAATAATTCCTTAACTCATTAATGCTAAAGTAATCTCTTGGCGATACCATACAACATTGCATCGCTCACCGGCTGCCGGCCGAACGGAATATATATACATACATACATATATACTATATATATGTGTATATACGTACATACATATACTCGTAAATATGTATGTATGTATATATTTGTGAAACTTAACCAAATTATTAAAAATCAAATATTTTTATTAGATCGAATCGAAATTGAACCACCCTAAATAATCCTGAACTAAATAAACTAGCGGTATATGCTTATTGTATGTACATATTGGCATATTATACCTATGTACATATGTACGTAGATACGTATGTATATATGTATCTACGTACATAATGGGTAAATATGTTTTTGAAAGCATGAAAATTCATATACATTTGTACGTATACATATGCCTATATACATATGTATGGACGTAAACGTAACGAAACATTTAAGCAATTCAGGAAACTTCTTGAAGCTTCTGGCTAAACAATCCCTACGCTAAACATTTTCTCATTCATTCAGACCGACAAACAGTGAGAGTAAACACACACACAAATACAGTGGGCATTTGTACGCTCTTACAATGTTCTTATTATCGTTAAATGTGTATACACCAGCTGCGAGTATAAAAAGGCCGGCACTCGCGAAGAGCGGCATAGTCGAATTTGAAATTGCAACAAAGTAATAAGCGTTAAACAAGCGCAGGCACAAAGCCATAAACATACACATACTTAGTCAAGAGCTATCTTTATCGCAAACGAATACTCTTTGAAAGTGAAAGCAGTATTATCTATTTGTATATTCGAAGACAACTGAAAAAGAATTTAATAAAAAGTTCAAAATGGCAGACCTACCGTTGATCTTGAGCTTGGCAGATGACTTGAGCCGCCTGTCACCATTATACGAACCAGTGTTCTACACTCGTTGGCCCGCCATAACAACCACACCCGGCGGACGTCTGAGGAAATTCGAGAAAGATTTCCCCATAGCCTCGGTTGGTAAGGATGGCTTCCAAGCCAGTATGGATGTACAGCAGTTCAAGCCCAGTGAGCTGAGTGTGAAAGTAGTCGACGATCACATAGTAGTTGAGGGCAAGCACGAGGAGCGTGAAGATGATCATGGTTATATTTCACGACACTTTGTTCGTCGCTACGCACTGCCGAAAGGATTTGAAGCTGATAAAGTAGTTTCCACTCTGTCATCGGATGGTGTTCTCACGGTTAGTGTACCAAAACCAGCCATCGAGGATAAGTCAAGTGGAAGAGTTGTCCAAATCCAACAAACGGGTCCAGCACACTTGAATGTGAAGGAGAATCCTAAAGAAGCTGTAAAGGATGAGAAGAAGAAATCATAAACATATAACTTGTTATTTCATATAACTCGAGAACCTTGAATTGTCATTTCATTAGTTCATTGAATTGTTTTTATTAATTAGTTTTAAAAATATTAATTTTCAATAGGAAGAAGTATGTTTGTAATTTAAGTTTCAAATAGAAGTTATAATAAAAATTAAAAAGATAAAAAGGATATTAGTTTTTACTGGTAAATATATGTATATAGTGGTGATCAATTACTAAACTGATCGTGATAGCCCAGTGGTTAGCATTGCGACTGCCGTTGCTGACCAACATCCAAAAATAATAGAAAGTTAATTCAAATAAAAAATTATGTTAATTTTTCTAATTACTGTCGCCTATCGGCTGGGGTAAGCGATGCATTTGATTGCGATAAACTATGGAAGACATTATTGTTGTCCCGCGAAGAGCCGTAAGTTCAAGCAAAATGTTTCTTTCCAAGCCCCCTAGTGCCATTATATCGGATGCTACCATCGTCGACTTTCTGTAGGATAAAAGGGATATCTTTGGTGTATCTAAAATGTCCTAACAAAAATCTACTTTGGGGGTCATGTTTTCTGAGTAGCCATGTATATAAATTTATGAGTAAAATTGAAAAATTGGCTTTGGGTATTGAACGGAAAAATTATGACTTCAGTGACTTTAGGCTCCTTTTGTATATGACCGTTGTTTACTGTTTACTGTTTATAAAGTAAATTATACAAATTTAGTAGAAAATGTCGATAAAATAATGGAAATCGTCGAACACTGTTCAGACTGGACAGCATCAAAAAATAGATTAGGACCACTTGTAAAAGGCTGCATACACGTACACAAGAAGCTCGACGTCTGGGTGCCACATGGGTTAACGAGAGAAAACCTTATGGAGCGAATGTCCATCTGTTGAAATCAAAACATTTCTGAAGCGGTTGGTGACTGGTTATTAAAAGTGGATCATCTACAGCAATGTGAAATAACAACGGTCGTGGTCGAAAAGCGGTGAGCCGATACAAACGTCATACAAGCCATGATTGACAGCCAGGAAGGTTTTGCTATGTGTTTGGTGGAATGAGAGTAATACCCAATGAGCTGTTCCCCTCATTGTTGTATAACAAAAATATTCAATTCATACAAACAAGCCAAACTTTCAGCTTATTAAAAACTTATAACATAAATATTTATGTACAAACATACACATATGTACAGATATAATAATTTATCGCTTTGTAACCGCTGAAGCTACTCCGCCAAATTTGTGGTTTTGTGTCCTGATGTTTTTCCAACAAATGCAAGGAACCTACAATTTATACTAAGCCGCCTCCGAACGGCTGATGTTTTTTTCATGAGGAGCTTTATTTCATGTCCGAAATACCCTCGAAGGACTTGACATTCCCTACCGAGGGGCGACCGCAATTAGAAAATTTCGCTTTATTTATTATTTATATTAATTTTCTATAACTTTTTGAATGCTGAACTCGAGCCTTCCAAATTGCACTACGCAATGCCAACCACTCGGCTACCTCTATGTAGATATGTACCTGTATATTCAGAAATATACTCGTACATAGAAAGGGGATGATTTACGTGAATAACTATGTAGGTATATGTATTCATATGTCTGTACATAGGATATACGTGTATGTATAAAAGGCGCTATTTTTTTGTTTATGCTATGCTTAGTTTCCAGAGTATTCGCGAAAACTTTCGAAATTTCTGTTGCTTATATTTATTGTATACGTACATTTGTATGTAGGTATTTACATACATAAGTACATCTGCTCAGGCCTAATCGAAAATCATTTACCGAAGTTTTTGAGATTGTATTTGTACATAGATACATACATATGTACATACAAACATACATAAGTATATATAGGCCCGTCGTTGCATTCCTATTAGAACTTTCGGGAAAGTACAGGCACATGTACACTCATACATATGTATATACGTACGTATGTACATACATAACATGAATTTGACGGGTAGATACGTGGCCAACAATACTACTCAGCTAACTGGCGTATCTAAAATTATGGTATCTGCACGTTACGTTTATCTCTATGAAAATTTCTCGACCAACATCAAAAAATTATAGAAAATTATCTTTTTTCAATTGGGGTCGTCTTTCGGCAAGGAATGTCAAGCCCTCCGAGGATATTTCTGATATAAAGTAGAATAAAAGCTCTTCATAAAAATCTATCAGCAATTCGAAAGCGGCTTGGAAAAACTGTAGGCCCCTTCATTTGTTAGAGAAACTTCAAGATGTAAAAAAAAATTGGAGTAGGAGATCGGCCGGAAAACGCTTCATTGGTTATAAAGTGCCAAATATACATATAAGCATATGATATCATAGTAACAATATTACACATACGTAGGTATTTCTATTATGTACATACATACATATATTTATAAGTTAAAATACATTTAACGCCGGCAGTTCAAATTAATAATTAGCACAAACATACATAAACAAATGTATATATGTATCTAAATTTACTTTTTTGCAACATTACGAAGATTTAAAGAGAATGGAGAAAGAACCTCTTTGTCTTCCGTTCTCCCAATTACACTTTTCTCATTAAACTCTCTTAAAATCAAAGACGCTTCTTCATTCTCTGAGTATTCGGGTGCTGCCAGTTGGTAGCTGAGACATATCTCCGCTAAGCAGAGAACTTATAAGTTCTCTGGCTAAGCAAAGGTGTATAATATACACTGTATATTTGTTGTAAATACGTGTCTCGATGGATAGGTGTAGAAATGTATAGAAAAGTGTAGATTGTTCGGCCGAACACCAAGTAATTTACTCTCCCGCTTGTCAGAAAGTATATAAGCAGCATCGATTCCTCGTTCCCCTCAGTTGAGAATAAAAGTTCAAAGAGTACATATTTGCGAAACGCAAAGCGAATAACAAATTCCAAATTTGATACACAATTTTTGTACTGCGCTAAATAGAAATTATTTGCTGGTCTTAAGCATTGTGAAGCAGAGTTTTAAGCAAGTAAAAATGGCCATTGTACCACTATTAGTTAACTTGGCTCGTGAATTGGATAGCGATTACAGAGATATCGAACAACACCTTTGGGATGATGATTTTGGCTTTGGTTTACATCCACTGGACATTATCCGACCCGTGCGTCATGGTCATTCGATAATGTTGCATCCACGTCGGCGACATATTCCATATGATCGTTCGCAAGTGTTGACTCGACGTGCTGGGCGACTGGGTAAGGAGGCAGGAGAATGTTCATCACTAATACCAACTGTCGGCAAAGATGGTTTCCAGGTCTGCGTGGATGTGTCACAGTTCAAGCCAAACGAATTGACTGTTAAAACTGTAGACAAGACAGTTGTGGTAGAGGGCAAACATGAGGAACGTGAAGATGAGCATGGTATGATACAACGCCATTTTATACGCAAATATACACTGCCAAAAGATTACGACCCGAAAGATGTTGTATCTACAATTTCATCGGACGGTGTATTGACCGTGAAGGCACCACCACCACCAAGTAAGGCGATTAAAGCAAACGAACGCATCGTTCAGATTCAGCAAACCGGTCCGGCACATTTGAGTGTCAAAGCGCCGGAAGAACCAGCCAACGACGGCAAAGCGAAGGAGAATGGCGATAAGAAGTCTGGAGGAAAATAAGTGAATTCGTTCCAAATAGAATTAGCACTTTATAATAATCGCTTTATGCTATTGCCGTTCATTTAGATTTCAAACACTGAGAAATTTCCACTACTTAAGCATTTATATTAGTATTTTTTTACTTGTAACAAACCCGAAATCGATTTATAATAATTTTCATGTTTTTGAACATTACAAGTATTCGGTAACTACTGTGTAGTAAATACCATATATGTATGTACATAGTTGCGTATATGGTGGATTCACTCATACAAAGTGTAATAGAAATTGGTTTAAAAATGAAATAAAGTTCTTTATATATTTAAAAACTGGTTATTTTCATAATGGATTAAGGGGCGGTGGGTGCTAATAGGCTATTTTTGAACAGTAATACAAATGAATGTTGCCATTGATACTCTGGAAATTATTGGTAAGATGGATATGAGTGATTTCCATGTCGGGCGTGTTGTCTAATAAGAACCCGTGGAACCGGGTTAAATAAACGACCGGAAGAACAATGTGTAGACCTGAAGTACCAACCAGGTTAATAACACCAAACAACTCTTGTTAGACGCATGTTGAAGCTGATCAATTAAGAGTTTCTTGTTTGAGTGAAATTCTTCCTTTACGAAACCTTAAGCGTTTAATTGAAAGATTTGTTTGAAATACATACTTTGTATTTCATTTCTTTTATTGGTTTAAAATTACATTAATATAGATATAATAATTTTAAATAGTTTTCTGTAGTATGCGGGTTCAACATACCTAATAATGTAAATAATAATGTTTAATACAATAGTAATGGTTTACTAGTTGATTAATTTAATTACAAAATTTTTTTGATGATGATTTTATACTATTTACTGTACAAAAATTAAATAAAAGAATAATAATGTTAATTTAGTTAAGTGATAAGCTATTGAATGTTTATTTCCATTAGTCGAGGAAGGACTAAAGCGAGTAAAAAGGGGAAGAATTTTGCATTTAAACAGATTTTAACTGATTTTTTTTATCTCAAAACATTTCTGAAACTTTAAAAAGCGAGTATAAGGCGCAATGCTAAAACGACAATTTCTTTATAGAAAAATATTTAATTTTTTTTTTTTTTTTTTTTTGAATTGATTTATTTCTATTCCGGTAAGATAATTTATATTTATGAATTTATGTAGGCATGTATATACTATTTATCTTTTATTTGCATTAATATGCAGCATTTATGTATATAAGTCCAACTGCTCCCCGTGTTTTAGGAGCGTTTGAAAAAAGTGACATTTTCCAGCTTTCCCTTTGTTTGAAATGATTCAAGATTTGCAAAAAAGTCTAAAAGGTTATACAATTTAGTAATCACAGTTGTTAAGCATTTACTTGCAACATCCTAGTTCTCTCCACTTCAAGTTACATATAGAAAAGTTTAAAGGAAGCAATTTCGAAACTAGGTATGCCAATGCTGTATAACTAATAAAATGGCAGAAATGTTATGCTTTCTATGGCGCATTAATGGGACGTTTGAGTAATGCATAATGTTTTTTAAATAATGAAATTGTAGTTTTACGCAGAACAGCCATTTGTAGAACAGAAGCTTAAGGTGCGAGTAGTCCAAGTTTTGGCACGCTACTAAATGTTTTATTGAAATAACTTATGCTTAACTAGAGTATAAAATTAACTAATTATTGAACGCAGTTTTTTCAAAAATTCATTTTTTGCTTCGAAAACATGTTGATTAAAATTGAAGCAGATGAACAGTTTCTATTATAACAATGTAATAAACATACACGAAACATGAAGCATTAGTTTAATTTTAATTGAAAATAAAATATACAAACTTGCCCTTTTGCTCGTATAATTTAGATTTATCTTGATCTTTGCTAGTAATTCTTAAATACAAACATATGAATAAATTTCAAATTCGTACTCCCCCACATCTTTTCTTTGCTTCTGCTAGTAATACAATTGTATCATTTAATTTTATTTACAGCAACCTTATATATCAAAGTACAACAGTCTAACACTGCGTTCAATAATTAAACATCACCCTCAACATAAGCGGGATAAATGTACAAAAGATTCCCTTTCATACATATATCCCCAGGGAGAACACCTAAAATGAACAATATTAAGCGTGAATAAATATTGGACGCAAGTAATCTTTGTTCGTCGCACACAAGTTAATAATAATGTTAATAATAAAATAAAATATAATGAAATACAGATAGATATGTGCGAACACAACTTAGAGAGCGAAACTCAGTACATTTACTTATACACATATAGGTATAATATATTCTTCATTTAAGCAAATTTGGGCTTGCACGAAATGAAGTTGGGCAGAAACGCGCGTTGCATGCTCACTTTCTGAGCAAATTTTCACAACTGCCACTTAAATTTGGCAACGATTTAAACATGGTTTTCGACGTGGACTGTCGCCCAGACGCAGTCGTACCCACCACCGCTGCGATAGTGCTGGGTATGGCTCTATCTGTCAGCAACTCTTTTGTAACCGCGCAAGCTCCCAACTCGTCCACTGTATGCAATGAACGCCGTAGAGCTGCCTGGGTCTGACGCGCTGTAGCCAATGTCACATTTGCCGCGTATGCTGCTGGAGGCGAAAGCGGTGACGTCGGCAGCTCCATATCTAAAATTGTATCAGTGGCACTAGCCGAGTGCTGTTTCAAAAGTTGGTGCGCCCGTTTACTTCCACCGCCCATTGTTTTCCTTGCTGATGAGTACGTAGGTTCTATTGGCACGGCTGACGGTAGTACAACGTCATCAACATTTGTCCCCAACATTGGTTCGCTATCCGGTCCGATTACAAGTTTTGTGTCCGAGTAGCGTCGTAAGTCTTTCGTAAGCAATTTATTCATTTGTTCGCTTTCAGCTTCAACATCAGCAACACTGGGTGGCGTTAATGTGTTCACATGCCGATAACTCTCGTTGGGAGCTGGATAATCCATCGATGATTCCATGCTGAGGCCCATCGAGTCAGTGAGGATATCACGGTTCTCTACGAATATCGATGAATTCGAATAGCGTTTGGTGTGCGGCTTGTAGACGAAGCCACCCAAGCCATTAGCCACCGCGTTGGAAACGCCTGAACTGATTGAGGGTGCTTTTTGGTCGCCGCTACCTAGGTATAGTAAACAAAACATGTTAGTTTGAAACTTTTTGTTAAGTTAGTTTTAAGGCAAAATCATATATCGGAAATATTTATATTGTTTTCAAGATCGAGTTTTGATGAATGTTGGATTAACTTTTCACACATGCAAGACCAATGCAAAATTTGCTGTCCAAAGCACCATTAATTCATAATTGTCACGTCTTCCAGTGATTGGACTGAATGAAAACCTAAAAGGATTTCCACTCTTAGATGTCATATCAACTTGGTGTCTCGTATTTCATATATATGAATTTTAAAGTCAAGTTTGATCATCTCAGAGACCACGCCACCCTACGCAAACCGACAATTTTATGGTTTGACATGGGTATAATCAGGTTATTTCGGGGAAATTAAAAAAAAATTTGTCAATGTCAACACGCAATACTCACCACTAAAACTACTCAATTGCAGCGCATGTTCACGTCCTGTGTCAGTCGAAATGCCACCTGTGCTGAGATCTTGGCGTGAACCGCCACACACGTCATTTACAGATCCACGACTTGAATTCTCCGAATGTTCGAGTACGTTATGTATGGAATCGTGGAATGGTGTCATGCTACCAGAGCCTTGTGGACAAGGCCGGAAAGATGATATTTGAGAGACAACATCATCTAATGCCCAATCGCGTTCGTAATTACTTTGCAATTGCGCACACTCAATATTTGCCGCGACAGCTACCTGCCCCAGCTGCCGTTGCGGCGTCAAATGACTGTGATGATGAGATGTAGGCAAAACATCAGAATCTGCATCACCACCGCCACTTTGTGGCACACGATGTTGTTCGGCTGGAAGATGATAGTGATGTGAGGAGTGTTGATGAAGTGTTGCTGCACCTTCTATATCCAAACTGCCCGAAATGCTGCCGGTGCCTGTTGCGGAGGCATAATTATAAGCATTTGAAGCAGAAGCGCCATTAGCAACAACCTCAACACTTGGACCATCCACGCTACAGGCGGGTGGCGCATTTGTGCCTGAGGTTCGTGGTTCGCTAGAGCCTTCATGATGTGTGCGATGTTGGACCGTTGGAGACGGCGGTGATAGGGCATGTATTTTTTCGGGCGCATTTTGTATGAGTAGAATTCTGGAAAAATGATTAATTTAAAGAAATTCATTCCACTTTAGTTATATGCACGAACGAACCTGTTCCGGGCTTTCCAACGATGACATAAATGTAGATAAGCTTTGCATTGAATATACATGAAAACAACGCCACCTGTCAAACCAACAGTGACCACGGCCAACTTCGTCCAGAAGGGCCAATCTAAGGACAAAGTAATAAAAATTAAGTTAGGTGATTACTTTCAGGGATTCCGGCGAGTAGCTTACCAATGAGTCCACGTTTCACATCATCAGCCGCACGTTCGATTAGCACACAAAGCGACCAAATAACGCATAAAGCGGCAGCGCAATGAAACAACACCGAACAGCAGAGGCGTCTTCGTTCAATACCGGATATATCAAGGCTACGCCACTGCAATGAAATTGATTATTATTTAATAATGAACTTTTTATATAATATTATTTAGGAGCTTACCTCATTGAACGGTTTGATTTTGGTGTGCATTATAAAGGGAAATTTGCATAATTCGCAAGCATTCGTTTCCGATGCTGTTAACCATTGCTGGAGGCATGCCTGATGGACGTATTTTAGACTACCCGCACAATAGCAAGGCGTTAGTAGAGGGTTTTGTGGATCGCTCTCGCAGTGGCAGATGCGGCAAATATCCCCACTGCTTTGTGAAGCCTGACTGCTGCCTGATCCAAATCTGTAGAAAGGTAAAAGTAATAATAATAAATTAATTTTTAAGTATATATGTATATGTGCATATACATATGTATAGATATGCCCCTGCATTGGTATGTACCGACACACTTTCGGAAATCTTAAATTTGGTTATATTGGGCAAGTAGTGCCCGTAGTGACAATTTTATGCACCTACAGGTGACTCAAATGGCTTAAACTATATTCCGAGTATTTTAAAATATCAAGTTAAGGGCTTTTTTCTTCACTTTTTTGATTTAGTTTTATATCGCAACGTCTATCACAAAACTCTGCGAAACCTCACTCACGTACAATAAAAAGATGTAATTAGAATGCGATAAATCAATTAAATGTATTATTCGATATGTAATGGATATAAAAATATATTTCTTCTTTCTTCTTTTTTAGGGTTGGCACCGCTTACGCGATTATAGCCGAATCAAAATTAGCGCGACATTCCTATTCTTCCCTTCATTTCGCTGTTTGGCGCCAGTTGGAAATACACCTGAACCTTCCAACAGAGCGGAGATCTTCCTCTTCCTCTGCTCCCACCACTGGAACTGCATAGAATATTTCCAAAGTGTAGCCGCTATCTCTTCATTCGTCAATATCGTCGTACAGCTCATCGCTCCATCCACTGCGATATTCGCCGTTGCTAATGCGCCAATTGTTCGCAAAACTTTGCTCCCGAAGGCTCCTAGGGCCGACTCATCAGATGTTGACTTCGTCCATAACTCTGCACCATATCGAAGGATGGGTTAGGATGAGCGACTTGTAGTTTGGTTTTCGCTCGTCGAGAGAGGACTTTACTTTCCAATTGCCCACTCAGTCCGAAGTAGCTGCGTTGGATTTCCAGGCTGACATTACTATTGGTGTTGATGCTGGTTCCTTGATAGACGAAATTATAACTGTCAACAGTGACGTGGGAGCCGTGACGCGACACGATGCCTATTTGTATGATGACATATTTCACGGGTCTTCTCCAAGATTTGGCGCAAGATGAATATCTGGTCAATGGTTGGCTTACCAGGTCTGAGGCCACACTGATAAGGTCCAATCAGTTTGTTGCCGGTGGCCTTTAGTTTTTCACACAATACGCTCGATAGGTCCTTATATGTGATGTTAAGAAGGCTTATTCCAAGGTAATTGGCGCAGACTGTGAGACCGCCTTATTGTGGATTGGACAAACTTAGGTTGCAATCGTTGGGTATGCTTTCATTCGACCATATTTCGTGAAGAAGCTGATGCTTACACCTGATCAGTTCTTCATCGCGATATTTTAATAGCTCGCCCGGTAATCCCGCAGTCCCTGCCGCTTTGTCGTTTTTAACCGAGCGATTGCTAGTCGGACTTCTTCATAGTCGGGACGAAACAACTTCTCCATCTTCATCAAATGGAGTTTCGGATTCACCTTTTCCAGGTGTCTCATTTTCACTGTCATGCAGAAGCTGGAGACTTCTCCATAATTTCAGTATACACTGGGCATCCGTCACTAGCTCACCCTTCTGGGCCCTACAAGAGTTTCATCCGGTCTAGAAACCTTCCGTAAGTCGCCGTATCATTTTGTATAATTTTCTAGCATTAAATTCTCAAGTGATTAGTGATTGATGGCACCCATTCTCAGGTGCTTCATGGGCAGCGGAATAGGGCCAGTGGGTTACGCCCAATTTTTTATATCAGCCTAGTGCTCACCTGAATACATTCAATATTCCATCCCACCCACATAGATAACAATTTTTAATTTTTTGCTTTGGGTCCAATACTAATTTAGAATGAATCCTGCTGTTGACAGAGAGCAAGAGGGGCGATCTATATTTGTAAGTCCAGCTGAACGTATTTTCTGAAGTTTGAAAAATATATCAAAGCATTTTTACTGTTATCTCGAATCAAAAATTAATAAAATTTCAAATTTAAATTTTGAAGCGACAACTTCACCACAAGTATTACAATCTATTATTCAACTCACTCTAATTATTTAGCATTTTATGACTAATTTATTGCGAAGCACAATCACTTACGTGTAAAAAATACGCATCCATCAATAATTTAACTGACATGATTTGTTCGTGTAATTGCACTTGCATCATATTTACAAGTGTGCACACATTTATTTATTGCACACATAATTATATTATATATCGCTGCAAGCATTCAATATATGGAGATATAAAAGTAAGGCACAAACAAACACATCAATATGTGGTGAAAATTGCATGTGTATGCTTGTATGTACGAGTATGTGTGTCGCAAAATTATTGAGCAATGTAAGCATTATTCATCTCCTAAATTGACAAGAGTAATTCTGTAAGGAAACCCAACGCTCCATTTCACTTGGCATCAATGCACATAGTACAAGCATTTTTCAGAAGAATGCACTAACATTAGTACGAGTGTGTATGTACATACGTGTATGTAGTCGCTCATATGAATTACACGAAAGAGGGAGTGATAAGAGCAATCATAAGTAATAATAATGTAGATTACAACAAAATAAACAAAGAATTTCATACGTGAGATTTTTCCAAAGGAAATTACAAATTCTTCGGTAGCGATTTGTGTAAATACCTTGCAAGAGTAATGTCGGGTGTGTTATACAAATGTATAGATATTTTTATGTGAGCATTTGATTGTACATACATACATACATATATACGTACATATGTGTATTTATTTATAGATTGAATCCGCAAGAGATATTTGCGTAATTAACCAACAGTACGCAATTTACTGCAGTCAATTTACAAAGCCAATAAAAAATAGTTAATAAATTTAGGTGTAAATAACCAATAAACTTTTATTACAATTCGTTTGCTGACGACACTCTAACTCTCTTCGTCTCTGACACGCTTAAAAAGCAATGACCGTGTGTGTTTGTAATTTAAAAATATTTAATTGAAGTCTTAAACACTTTGGAATGATTCCAGTGACAAATTTTTAACATTTTCATCAATAACATGTATATGTACATATATAGGAGTATGTATTTATGCAATGAATATATGTGTGTGTGAGTGTGGAACTATCACTAACACAAGTCATTACGCTTCGAAGAAAAAATCCATTCCGACAAAATTCATCCGTCGATCGCATTCATAGTCTTCAAACTAATCCCGGTCAAATCAGGCGATTACGAACACGGCTGCGGAGCAACGAAGATTAATGCTACACATGGCGTTGAGTATTTTTGTAACTAAACAAGATGTCACTTTTCCCTTTCAAAATGGTATTGACTTATCCATTTGTGATGCCAACCCTATAAACAAGCTTTCTAGTTGTCAATTGACGATTTTGCTCATCACTTGACGTTTATGGTTTTACAAGGATCGTAGATAATAGTTCAATTACAGCTAGAAACAGTTAAGTTAGTGCGAAAAGGGAGTTCTGAAATAAATATTTGCAAGGGCTTCTTTTAAAACTTTCAGCATTTGGGAGAAAATTCAATTTAGCGAATAGACACAGCTGGCTCTTCCTTTCCTTCCATGACTGAGTAGAAGTTAGTGTTTTTGTGTGTTTTCGCTGTTTCTTTGTTTCCTTAGTTGCAAAAAAGTGTCCCAAGGATCGATATAATTAATTGAACAATAAGGACAACTTCCTCATTGAAATCAAATGCTGTGCCAAGAGTGAGGTGGAGATGGCAGATTGCGGTCAGACAGTGAACGATTCAAGTTTGTATATTCTGAATTGTTGTTGGTTTTGTTGATGTTAATTTAGCTATCCTTGCGTAACAGATGTATGTGCTGTGAGTTTATTTAAGAATGAGTGTAAGACGCCAGTAAGTAGACAGATAGTTCAATAAAAGCGGAGCTCGAAGAAGGTCATCGAATAAAATAAAATGATTATATTAGCAGCCGAGTGCATAGCCTTCCATACTACCAACAGCATCCAAAATAGTAGCGAGTTAATTTTTCTGTATGCGGTCACCCCTCGGCAGGGCTTTCTCGAGTGTGTTTCTGACATGAAATGAAGCTCCTCATAAAAAGCTATCAGCCATTCGGAGGCGGCTTAGTATAAATTGTAGGTCCCTCCTTTTTTTGGGAAAATCATCAAGACGCACTCAACAATTCGGAGTACCTCATCTGCAAATCACTTCAGCGGTTAAATAGCGCCATTTATATGTATATATTTTAGGTGTAATAAAAATAATTCTAATATTTTTGCAAAAAATTGAAGACTTGCTCTGTCGCCTGACTAGCGTTTTCGCCCTTATAGAAGAAAAAACAGTAAAATATGGTTTGTTTTATCTTTGCTAGTGTCCATCTTTGAGAAGCGTTTTTTGAAAAAGAAATGTCATCCTGTTAACGCCATCTAGCGGAACCCGATCCATTATACAAACCGAGATACAGATAAATAACGCCAACTATTAGAAAAATATTGGATTTCTTTTTACTACACCTCATACAGCTCATCGTTCCATCGTCTGCGATGTTCACCGTTCCCAACGCGCAAAAGACCATAAATCTTACGCAAAACCTTTCTCTTTCTCTTTTTTATGGATTGGGAAGAGAACACTTAAATTCCAATTGTCGACCGACTTCCGACCATATTCTGCAAAGTAGCTGATTCTTGCACGTCTTTTCCATCGCCATCGATTGGGGTTTCTGGTTCTCCATGTCCGGATTCTCTGGGCCACGGTGGCTAGAAGAGTCCTTCCGTAAGTCGTCGTTTCTTATCATAGAATTTTCGAGCATTACCCTTGTCGGCCAGCTTCTCAAGCTCTTCATAATCACGCATCTACCGCCGCTCTTTCTTTTTTTTGCCTGCAGATGCGTCTTGCTACCCTCTTCATTTCTCGGTATCTATCCCAACTCGCACGATTTGTGGTCGATCGCAAGGTTGCTAGGTAGACGTCTGTTCCCTCTCCACTGCGGCACGGCAGTCAAACATTTTCGCAAATGATATATAGTCACACTTATGTTTTGTCCACCTGTGTACGTACTTACGATTTGTTCCTCATATCGACATCCAGAGCTTAATATTTCCTTCAGGATCAAGTCGTATTGCCAC